AAACACTGATCCTGCTTTAGATGCAGATCAAAGGGTTCTCTACAGGTGGTAGAATGTTAAACCTCATCTATAAACCAGAAACAAACAGAAAAGGCTACAAAAGATCCTTGAAAGTGCTCTAGAGCCTGGATCCAGGAAAGGGTGTAGGTGCTCACCAGACACTCCTGCAGTTTAGCTTTACTAGCCAAGAAATGAAACACAGAGAACAGTCCTGCGTGACTCCCAGTAGCCTTAACAGTAAATTCCTATTTCCTCTTTCTGGCCTATCAGTCTTCAACCAATAATTAAGAAAGGCGGTTTCTTGGGAAGCAGAAGATGGAGTTTTGAATTCTTTGGGCTGACAGTGGGATTAAAATGACATTTCCTCCCTTTTTAGATTCCTTTTACATGACAGCCCCACCACAGAAATTGTTTAAAAAGGAAGTCTAGTGGGAGGCAGTAATATACTACCAGGCTACAGAAGATTCCTAACTCTGTTTTGTTGTTTGTGAACAACACAACAAGAGTAGGATTGCACCTTGCACTCCATGCTGGCTTCAGTCTGAACATTTTTAATTGTCACCAGCAAGCCATCAACTGGAGTTTATAAATTACTGGTTGCTGTCATGTAGTTTTCAGAGCCTTGCTCTTCCCGTCTTTCTTCTAGTTCCCTGAAAAATCCTTTGTGTCAAAGACAAGCAAAAACCAAAAAGTCTGCAGTGTCATCACGAGCAGCAGGAAAGGTTCCACCTCGTGCAGTGGAAGTGTGACATGGTGGCACGATCACAGGAACGCTGCTTCTGAAAAACACATCAAGGCTGGCAACAACCCTGCACTGCAGTTACTAGGCCTACACTGAATAGGCAGAGTTAGAATTCTGTAACAAGATGCCTTCAAATTAAAATTACTGTGGAAATCTTTACAGCTGCTTCTCAACAAGAACTTCCTGAGAACAAACCTGTTACTTTTAAGGTGAGCACCTCGAATGAGTCAAATCAAGATTCAAATGGATGTCATCTGTGCTTTTAAAAGATTCCTGAAAAGTAAATGAAAACACCTTGTAAATGGGACACTAGTCAAGTATTTTCTTCTTTAAAAAAATAAAGTTAAAGATTTTATTATTTACGTATCTTATGAATAAATTAAAATCTTTGTAAACACCACACTGTGTTTCCGAGACAGGCGGTCTTTCAGGAACAGCAGCTCCACAACCGCTTGCTCATCAGCCACTGCAAAACTGCAGGGACTAATCCTGTGCTGAGCAGGCAAAAAACCTCCCGGGGCACTCAACACGCTCAGCTGGGCAACACCCAGCCAAAGGCACATCCAGGAGAAAGGACAGGGCACAGGAAAGGCCCTGTCAGATGGGCACTCATCTCCACGGACAAATATATTCCAGAGGCAACATTCTGCGCTCACCGTGCTCTGTCGCCAGCTCTGCTCATGGCTGTTACAGCCCTTCGTCTCCAAACTGAGTCACAACCCAGAAAATTGATTTTTCATAACCATTTTTTCCAGGAGTTCACTTTGCAGTGTACAGCTTTCCCTCTACATGACATCAAAACGCATAAATGCATAGATCTCCGCATGGTTCGAGGTGTCCAAGATGCCAACATAACATTTCTTGAAATACACAAAAATGAAGCTTAAATTTATTCCTTCTGCTCAAGTGAATAAAGGGGCAGATAGCAACTATCACAACACATCCCAAACAGGAAGAACTGGGAAAAGTAAAGATCCATTGCTAACTACATCAGAAACATTCCTTCTATTCCTTCACGTAATGGTAAATAAGTTGTATTCATCATCTACAGCTACCTCTGTCTGAAGAAAAGCTCCTGGCCCTAAATCAGGCAGCACTGAGGGTGAAGCAGAAGCAACATGCAGAAAATCTACTGTTCTCCATTGGTTTTTCTCAGTGACCTCAGAAGCCACAGTGAACCATGGGGCTCCAGAGCTGAGCAGACAGGAGGAGAGGGCAGACAGATCCCTCTCCTGTGAGGGCACTAACTTTGTTCAGTCACTGTGTTTCTTTCAGAAACAGATCGAGTTAGATTTTAAATTAGAGTGTTTAGCGGTGGGTTTTTTCATGTTCTTTTCCCCTTTGTTCTAAAATCCTACACTAATGGTTAAGTTTAACAGCGGAACGCAAAATATGAGCAACCAGCAGCAGGAAACAGTCTTGAAGAAGAAGAAAGAAGGAAGAAAGCCTCTATGCAAATTATATTGTGGCTACAGAGACACCATAGAACCACCACATGATCAGCTGAAAATTGCACAAACTGGTTTTGCATGAGATGGCTGCTCCATCCCTGGAGGGGTTCAAGGCCAGGCTGGATGGGGCTTGGAGCAACCTGGTCTGGTGGGAGGTGTCCCTGCCCAGGGCAGGGGGTGTGGAAATGGATGGTCTTGAAGGTCCCTTTCAACTCTAACAGTTCTATGAGTCTATGATCTGCTGTACCATCTCAACTACCCTTCTGCTGGAGGAGGCAGTCTCCTGTCTTATTTTCACACACAGCTGCCTGCATGCAAATATAAATTAATTTCTTAAGCCTTTCTATAGCTGCACGTGAAGATAAATGCAGAAAACAATCACTTGAGAGTAATCAGTGAGTAATAAGCAAGCTTTCAAATGCCTGCATGGAGGGAAAGGAAGCCAAGAAGTAGTCCCAACATCAACTCAGGGTGTAACTCGGGCAGCACAGTGCTCCTGCAGGAGCTCACCAAGGCAGAGCAGACACACTGTGCTGCACACTCTGGACGTCACATGCTCATTAGGATTTTTATCAGCAGAAAAAAATATGTTTAAACCCACCCCTTCGCCTCCTGGTTGCTCATTTCCACCATCCAGGTATCTCCCCACATAGGCCAGTACAGTAGTTTCTGCCCTCATAAAGCAAGTCATGATCAGAAACAAACAAAACCAACAGAAATACACCATCCAAACAATTCCCACTGGGAAAAATCACTTTCGCTGCTTCACATTAGAACTAAGAAGAAGAAAACAAGCTCTTACTGGAGAACACTGCTTCACATTAGAAGAAGAAAACAAGCTCTTACTGGAGAACATCATCATTCAGACACTCCCGAGTGCGACCACGCTGTGGACTGTGTGCTCAGGATGTAAAATACCCACCTCAGGTGTCAACTTTTTCTCATTATATTGCAATTTGTGCAACAGTCCGAGTAAGTACTCTTTGGATAAGTAAATATTGCTGACAGGAATGCTGCTTGAGATTACTTTAAGCTGTCACATTTTTTCAGACTTAAATAACTCAGATAAAAAATCCTTCAGATAACACCAATCAACTTGTTTTTCCACAAAAAAAAGAAATCCAACCCAAATTTCTTTTATTTTCTGAAGTTATTTCATTCTTGAGATGAACCAGGGAAGGAGGGGAAGAGAAGAAAAAAAAGAAGCTCTACTTACACCTGAATTTAATTCCAGGGAGTTATTTGCTTTCAGAACAGGTCCTACTGGTCACTTGGTACTTTTCTCCACACAGATCACACACAGCTTTGCCTCCTGCAAGAAAGACAATACAAAATGTTTCCTTCCCAATGGACACCAGACATACTACGTCCTCCTATCCTATGCGGGTTGGTAGATGGGAATTAACAGAACAAATGGAAAACTAAATTAGCAAGTTTGATCTGGAAGAGGTGAAAAAGCTGTTGCTGCGAATTTTTAAATTCTATTAAGTAGATTGCTACAGGATGGCCAAGCCAAAAAGCCAGCCCATTTTGAAGGTTTCATACATACTTTCACAATTACCTACTTTAATTCATCATCAATTTACCAACAGGTAACAACTTACCAACAGGTCTACGAGTTCCAAAGGATGACACTGGTGACAACTTATCAGCAGGGCTACAAGGGCAAATGTAAGGTCCTGCACCTGGGGAGGAAGAACCCCAGGCACCAATATAGGTTAGGGGTGGATCTTCTGGGAAGCACTACTGAGGAAAAGGATCTGGGAGTCCTGGTGGATTGGATGGCAGGATCTCCATGAGCCAGCAATGTGCCCTTGTTGTCAGGAGGGCCAATGGAATCCTGGGCTGCATAGGGAGAAGTGTGGCCAGCAGGTCCAGGGAGGTCATTCTCCCCCTCTGCTTTGCACTGGTGAGACCACAACTGGAATACTGTGTCCAGTTCTAGGCTCCCCTGTTCAATAGAGACAGGGAACTGCTGGAGAGAGTCCAGCGTAGGGCAACAAAGATGATTAAGGGATTGGAGCACCTCCCTGATGAGGAAAGGCTCAAAGAGCTGGGGCTCTTTAGCCTCGAGAAGAGAAGGCTGAGGGAAGGAGACCTTATTAATGCTTACAGGTATCTAAAGGGTGGGTTGAAGGATGATGGAGCCGGACTCTTTTCAGTTGTTTCCAGCATTAGGACGAGGGGCAACGGGCACAAACTGGAACATGGCAAGTTCCACTCAAATATGAGGAATAATTTCTTTACAGTGAGGGTGACGGAGCCCTGGAACAGGCTGCCCAGGGAGGGTGTGGAGTCCCCTTCTCTGGAGATCTTCAAGACCCTCCTTGGTGCAGTCCTGAGTGATGTGCTCTGGGCAACCCTGCTTAGCAGGGAAGTTGGACTAGATGATCTCTAGAGGTCCCTTCCAACTCTGACAACTCCGTGAATCCGTGAGTCTCAACAGGTGACACCGGTGGCAACTTACCAACAGGGCTATGAGTCCCAAAGAGCGACAACAGTGACAAATTTACCAACAGATGACAACCTACCAACAGGGCTATGAGTCCCAAAGCCGACACAGGTGGGTAAACCCCCACGGGGGCTTCCTAAACGACATTCCCCGCGGTGGCCGCCGCCATCAGGGCCTGAGGGGGACAAGCCCTCAGCCCCCCCCACCATCACCCCCGCTGCCTTTTTTCCCCACACAACTCGCCGGGCGCGTGTGGAGGGAGGAACTAAACGCAACGTATTTAACGATTTTCCTCAAAGCGGTTATTTTTACCTCAGCTTGAGGCCCTCCGCGCCCGCCCAGCCCCGCCCGACCGGCTCGACAACCGAGCCCTGCCCTTCTTCCCTTCCCTTCCCCACCCCGTCCGGGTCCCCGTGCGATGGGGAGAAACGGAGATGGCCGCCGTTTGAGGTGGCGGTGGCGACGCGGGGAGATCCCCTCAGCACACGCCGAGGAGGAGCGGAGGCGGCGGCAGGTGGGTTTTCCCGGGGGAGGTGATGGCTTCCCGCCCTCACCCCCATGAGGGGTCGGAGTCCGGCGGGGAACCCTCGGGCCTGAGGGAGGGAAGGGCGACGGGGAAACCATCCCGCCCTCAGTCCCAGCGTGGCTCTGCCCAGACGCCTCACCTGCCCACAGGTGATTTTGTGTTATAATAATAATAATACCTGGGGGATTTGAGCGATCCTTTGCGTCGTATGACCCTGTTTCAGTGCTGGATTCCTCCTCTCTGTTTCTCCCCCTTCTTTCTATGAAGAGAAAATACACACAGAAGGCTGCTTTAAGCTGTACTGTAAGGTGTATTTGGCTTTAGAGGATGAAATGTGCTTGTCCAGATGAGTACTGAAGGCGCCAGGTAGGTTTGTCACCGCGTAACCAGTCCCTACATCTCACCTTCTGGTTGTTCCTCTCATCCAGCTCTTCAGGAGACGCCAACTCAAACTTTCATTAACTCTGGTGAGACAGTAATAAATGTAGGTGTCTATTTAAATGCAAGTGAATCGCTATTAACAGAGATCCTAAGAGGCAATTCTGTGTTACAGCTGCCTCGGCTTCTCAGCTTTGCTCTGCTGTCACTAGGAATGCTCACACCATCCTGCTTCTTCAAGTAGAAGAGAAGAAAATACATGTGGCTTTTTCTGCTATGTCTTGCTGACATACACAAAGCCATCCTGTTTTCATTTTCCTTAGGAATTAATACAGGGAAAAGAGTTATAAGGAACCTTATGGAAGTCCACGAGGAAAAAAACAGCTGTTCTGAGATATCATTGTAACATTTAGTTAAAGGATGAACCAAAAAGTCCAGTCAACTAATGAAGCCTGCGTGCTTTCGGATTGCCTCAGTGTTCCAGCATTTTAGCAGCTAAAAAGGATGAGTTGGGTTGATGCTTTTTCTGCTTTCAGGATATTTCTGCAGTCTCAATTCTGTGTATATTGTATGAGTATAATCAACTGTGAGGCCATAATTACTGTAACATCTCCTGTGTCTCGTATGTTTTCTGTCCTATGTGGTTATCTACTTTCTTCAAAATATGTAAGAGCTCTGAAAAATCCATCCTTCTCCCCAACTGACAGAAAGACCCTTGTACTTTCTAAATGAAAAGAACACAGTCAACTTTATTTCCCCAACTTTTCCTTAGGAAAGTAGCTGGAAAAGGAATTTATGTTCACGTTTTAACTCTCAAGAGAATGTTACTTGAAAAATTAAAATTTAGGCGCTTCTTAAAAATGATGTGTTAGTAAAACTATTTAATTCAGGAGCCTGGAAAATTAAGACATAAATTTGATAGTTGCTATGGTGGAGAACACTGATGTGTTAGTGAAGCTATTTAATTCAGGAGCCTGGAAAATTTAAACATAAATTTGATAGTTGCTATGGTGGAGAATTAACTAATTAGTAGAGGTAAGCAGAAATAAATTTTTTACAAACCTTTTTTTCTTTTTCCTTTTCAGATATGAAGCTCTGTGCCCTGTGATACTCATTTTGCTGGTTCTCACCATTGGAGGATGGCTGCCCTTCTCTGTGAAAATTGTTCTGGTCAGTACCACTACACCCAGGTCCACCAGCCTTTTGAAACCAGCTGCATGTTGCTCCTCATCATGCTGGGAAAAGTGTTCCTTGATTTCTTCATGTTGCAAGTTCAGCAGAAAAAGGTGAAGGTTAGCTTTATGAGAAACTTTTGTGTTTCACTGGCACTTCTCGATTTCACGCTGCTGCTGAGTATATTTTTCATTTTCTGTTTCGAGGACTTTGCACTCTGGGGGGTACGATTTACAAAGTACCACATTTGCCTGTTCACTCAAATAATTTCTCTTACCTACAGCATTTTGCATTACCCAGTCTATCTTGTGGCTGGTCTGGATTATTACTTAACCATAGCCCAAACCTCTCAATTTCCTAAAAGGGCTCAAAGATTACTTTACGTATTCGCTGTGGTTATCATATGGACCTCAGGGTTTTTTTGTATTCTGAAAGTTCCTGCTCTCTATGAAGAACTAGAAATTCAGAACCGGCTTTCTCCTTACTGGTGTCCTCTCTACGCCAGCGCGCAGAGCTACTCTGTCTCCTGTGCCATGGTGCTGCTCATCAGCACGGTGCTGGTGGTTTGTCGGAAGGAAGTTCTGACCATGCTGCTGTCCCTCAGGGTCATTTCTGTGGCCGCTCAACCCGTTCTGATGTTCTCCTATGTCTCTAACAACAGCGGCGCTTCATTTAAGTGGCAGCTCCTCACCAGGCTCCTCATCTGTTTTCTTGGCACTTGGGCACCTTTTGTTCTCCTGCAAATCATCATTTTGTTTCTCGACGTTCGGATTCCAGCCTACATGGAGATGAACGTCCCCTGGTTGTACTTCATCAACAGCTTTCTCATCGGCGTGGCCTACTGGTGCCGCTGTCACGACGTTGAATTGACCGAGGAGATGTGGGCCACAGATCCGTTTGTCAGCTGGAAATTCTGCTTTATGCCTTTTAACAATGAAAACACAGAGCCAGCCGATAAGCCAGGCACAGTAATTGTCATCTGTTAATGAGCTGCTGACCAAAAGGACTCCAAATTAAGTGCTGTGCGACAGAAGCCTGTGCTCTGACAGTCTGTGACCACGTCCTTACAGATTATACAAGGAAACGTCTCCAGAGCTACACTTGGTGGAAAAAAAACCAGTTCAACATCCACCAATACCACAATAAATATTGCACCAGAGTGTGGGACACCGCATGCTTCCACACTGGGTTCCAGTTCAGAGAATTTAACTTGAGAGTAGGGGTTTAAGTAAAGACCACTACTCACAAAACCCAAGCTTTCAGTTAAACCTTACAACTAGGATTTTACACTTGCTTTAAATGGAATGATCTCAGGTTTTTATAGTACAAAACACAATAAAGTCTTATTCAAAGCTGGAGCCCTTTTCTCCGTTCCGTACACGCGTTAACCCACTGTCAAAGGTTCTAACAACTCTCACTGTTTTTTTCAAGTGTATTTTCTTGTTAAAGTTTGTCTGTTATAATGAAAAATAATTCTCTTTTTAGTTAACATAAAGCTCCAACTCTACAGAAATCTAACCTTCGTTTCCGTAGTACAAAACCAGGCCGATAAAGTGCAACTTCCACAGCCACAGGAAACGCAGTGAGGTTTCGGTATTTCTTTGCTGCTGCTCCTCTAATGTATAGATGTACCTATTAAAAATTAAATAATTAGAGTCAGAGCAATAAGCGACGAGGCTAGCTGCTACGCATAAATACACGCCCAAAGGTTAAAGAATGACTTAAATTAAAACCAAATTTATTTTGAAGCAAAATTACTTGACAATTAAAATAGTTCAATATAGAGTGGGACTACTTCAGCAGGGGAAGAATAGCAAAAATACTTAAGTTTTCAAATTCTTGCAGTTTTAAGAAGGTCTGGACTTAATTTTGTAGAAGAGGAATAAATGATACACAACTCAAGCAGACAAATGGAAGTAGCATTTATTTCTGAAGCACTGAACTCACAACACGATGTTGTATTGAAATAGAAACCGTGTAAGTAAATGACGCCGCAGGTGGGTTAATCACTCACCCAGACCCACAGGGACCAACGATGTCGCACACGAATACTCATTAAGAAAAAAATCTGCAGGTAACAAAAGGTGCAATTACAAGCAACTTCAAGCAGCATAGTATAAGGTGCTTCGTTTCAGCATTTTTATGATGGATTTACCCATTTAACAGACAGATCAAAGAAATTTCACTTCTACGGATCATAACAAATGAGAGAATCTAAACCTCATTCACATGCTCATTGGTAATAGGAAAGTGCTTTTTAAAAAAATGATTCACAAAGTGAAGATCATATTATTTTTTTTTACATAGTTCACTCTTCACATAGTGTGCTCTTCGACTGTAAAATTTAAATTTCGGGTTATCATTTACATTATTATATATCAATTATAGACATAGATTTAATTGCAAGAATTTAATGCTACGTGGGCTAAAATTTCTTATAAAAGAATATTTCTGCCTATGACTCCATAAGAATACACAATCATATCTCAATCATATATTAATCTTGCGTTTCTGCCATATATCAAAGTCCAATTATCGTTCTGATTTATTATTTCCCCCCCTGCCCCTTAGTGCTTCCTTCACCCAGAGCCTGGGGTAAACTCCTTTGATGTGCCAGTGATGTCACCAGAAGGACATGAGCGTTTTTAAGCTGCAGAAAACAGTTTTAACAGTTTTTTGGGGAAAATCTGTTAAAAAGGCCATCGAAAGGACAGGAAATGATCAAAAATTGAATTTTAAAATTAGTGCAATCAGAGGAGGCAACGCTTAGCAACACAGTTGGAAGTGTTTGGCGCCACAAGTCATTTCTGCTGGAAAACGTATTTGGAGGAAATTCTATTTCCATGTTAAAAGGAGGAAAGCACCTGCAACCTTAACTTGAAAAGCAACCTTAAGCAATCCCTCCCTGCTCCCTCAAATTTTAATTGCTGTTATTTAGCACTTAAGATGCTACAGGATAAACCGTGTCTGAACACATTTTTTTTTTTGACACAGCATTTCTTCAGGTTTTATATAAACCGGACACCCACTGAAACGGGGTTGACAAAATATTTACAAAACCTCATTCCATTTAAAAAAACCCAGCAAATCTCTCAAATATAGCAATGCACCAGGCATTCCAGAAGATCACAAAAAGAACTAATTCCCTGCAGATTTGGCAGGCGAGGGAAAATTCCTAATTCAAATTTTATATAAACCGGACACCCACTGAAACGGGGTTGACAAAATATTTACAAAACCTCATTCCATTTAAAAAAACCCCAGCAAATCTCTCAAATATAGCAATGCACCAGGCATTCCAGAAGATCACAAAAAGAACTAATTCCCTGCAGATTTGGCAGGCGAGGGAAAATTCCTAATTCAAAATTCATTTAACACCAGATGAAGGCAAAGTTATTTTCAAGAACATACATTTTGGATGGTTCTGTTTGGTGTGATTAGTCTCGCCCTTGCGATTCATTAACACAAACTGGGAGCTGCAAGAAGCCGGGTAAAGCTGCCCATGTGTTTTATTTATCAGTGTGGTTCAGCTTCTCAACCCCTAATTAAAGTTTACACAACCCCATCTATCCTGACAGGGCAGAATTCCACTCGTTGCTGCGGTGCTGATAAAGCCATTTTACATTTTTTAAAACTTTATTTTTTTACAGGGAAGCCACAACATGCAGCCGAAGCCGAGTATTAACGTACCGATGTGATATCACTCTATTACTATCAAATTCTTTCCTCCACACTCGTTTGGGGAAAAGTACCAAAGAGCATCAAGCTTTAGGCTGTCGCTGCGCCCACCCAGTAGGTGACAGTGGCATTGGTGCCTGAGCCTGCTAAATAACTACTTTAAAATGCCTTCATTTTAAGCATTTTAAAATTGCATATTTTAAAGCCCGCCTTTATCCTTGACTTTTTATGGAGGGAGATACTTGACGTGACCTCAATCACCCTCCTAATGACTCCAAAGTTTTTCCCTTTGTGTTTTCCCTTCTCTGGGAAGTCCCAACACATAACCATGAACTGTTACTCTCAAACAGGACCCCAGTGTCACTGCCAGACAGACAGACAGAGATGTCATCCTAGGCAACTGGTAGCATCTGAAATAATAACAACTAGAGCCAAGCACTGCTCTATCTCCTCTGTGCATCCCTTGTGCTGTGACAGCAACTAATGGCCTAATGCCATTCAAATGCTTTACAGTCTTTAATTCTTAAAGGATTATTTGATATTAATGGTAACAGCGGATGAAGTGTTAACCCTTGATGAGAAACTTCTCTACTTTCCTCATATAAAGACTCCCTTAGGAATCAATATTGATTTTAATGAGATACTCTATGGGGTTTCCAATTCTAAACAGAAGGATTTGGCACTTGTTAATAAACCCCTTCATTCATTACACACACCTTTCCTGGTGAGTACTGGTTTGGTAACGCCCTGACACAAAGACAACTTGACAAGGAGGTTGGGGGTGCAGAATATCTCATGGTTCTTTTAAAGGCTGAATTTGCAGAAAGCTGCCAGGTAACGGAGGGCGACACGAGTCTTCAAAACACAGATAATGCCTCCTGGGTCAGTGATATTTGTGCTTTTAGCCTAATCCTGTCATCAGCGAGGACACCCTGGTTTAGCATCCGTGAACAATACTACAGCCTTTCAACAACCCTACGAAACCGTACAGTGCTTTTTACACACAATTAAAATACCTGGTTTAGCAAATACTACAGCCTTTCAACAACCCTACGAAACCGTACAGTGCTTTTTACACACAATTAAAATGCTCCTTAAGTGTTCTGTATTGCACTTAAATTTATGATCACTATTCTATGAATATACAATTGTGCTCAAATTGTTAATACTTTCCAGATGGAAAAAAATATATCTCTTAAGATCTCCTTTTTCTAGCTCCTCACTGTACATGTTTTGGGTAATTCAGCAAGAAGGTAATACAGGCTGGAAGTTTAAAACTTTTTTTACTTGAGATGCGTTTGTAATGCCAAAAAAATCACTCAAGGAGAAAAAACTTTCAATATGCACAAGGCCCACAATCTTAGTTGCTGAATTCATGAATATTTAAAGTATAACTTGCTATCTGCAGCTCTCCCAAAACCACATAGGATGTCGTGCACCAGAAGACCCAGCACAGACGTGCGTTAATCGGGTCTTACAGCCAGCAATTACAGCTGGGAGTCCTACAGAAACACAAACTGTAGAAGTTCTCCCAAAAGCTGTCTAATAAAGCCAAATTAAAACAAGGGTGAGATTCTCATGCATGTAACAACACTGTGATTAACTGCAGGTATAAGTAAGACTCCTAACTCCACGTTTTCAAATATGCCTTAAGCCATTATCGAATCACACGAACGTGTACCTACTGTTTACGTTGCCAAAGAATGGTACAATCAGAAGACAGATTAAAAATCAGCCAGTGAAATTTCCGTATAAAAATAATGAAACTTTAAGACAAAATCCAAAGGATAAATCTCTAAGATCTCTTTAGTCTTCAATTAGCTCATCAAAACAGAACGCATCCTGTCGAACCTATGTTACAGCTATGCTACAGGGTGTATCTTACAGAAATGCTACAAACAGGAACCTACTGTCTCCATCACTTGAATCTCTTCCAAATGAACATTGCCAAACGTCGAACCTTCAACTGAGAAGTTTATTTGACAACAGGAACTGAAGACAGGAAAAAAAAACAAACCCCAAATGAGAAAGTGGTTAGCAACTTCCCTCCAAAATAAACCCAGACGTCAATGAATCCTCTAAAGCCTTTGGTGTGATTTGGGTAAGGGCTCTCACCACATACAAGCATGTAACAGCAATGGGTTGTCTTAACTTGGAGCTTCAGTGGTTAATAAAAATATTAATAGCATCTGCTATTAGTAAGCTCAAACAGTTGTAATTAAAAACAACGATTGTAGTTTTGATCTCTAGAAGATAATGGTAGAAAGTCTGTTAATAAAAGCAAAGCAATAGTCTAATTAAAGGAAAATGAAGCACGGATTTTTCTGTAATCCCAATTTACTCTTCAAGATCATCAATTAAATAATATACACATTAATCTACCTGTCATAAACCTTCCTCTCAGCCAGTGTATGTGCATTGACTCCTTTTGATCTAGGTCAGCAGTTCTCAAACTTTACATCAATTCCTCTTCTTTTCACAAATACTTTAGGGTCCCCCTGAACATCGCCCTACACAATCATATATTATGCATTAATCCGCATAAAATACAAAATACATTATCTGTAGACACATACACGTATTTAAATTCAAATATACACGACGACTCTATCGGCACACACACCCTTCTTTCCCTGCACAGGAGCTTAGGGATCTAGGTCTGTACATAAGGGGAGCAGAGCTGCAAAGGGGAGGGAAGAGAAGGTACCAAATACATCCACGAATGTCCAGACACAGGTGAAGGGGAAGGGAAGGCCCAGAAGGTGCTGCTGCCTCCCAGCCCAAATAGATTCTGAGGGTGTCAGTAACTGGGGAAACACAGAGAGGGAAGATGGAGGGAGACACTCATCCCACTGTCTGGGTCTGCAGTGTCCGGGTCGAAATCTCCTGCCAGAGGGACAAAGCAGGGTCCCTAGAGATTTCTCCCTCCTGCCAGTCCCTCGATGCAGGGGTTGCTGCTCCTACGCCCAGCTCTGGAGGGACCTCATGGAGCAACTCGCCCTGCTCCTTCCTCAGGCTACTGCAAGCCCAGCTCACGCGAGCCACCGAACAAATAAAAGGTGCTTGGAAGCTTCCAGAGAGGCAATGGGAATGTGCTACAGGGAAAGACAAGTTAGAAGAGGTATCAAGAACGAGAGCATCCGAGCTACGCTACCCCTTCTCCACCTCCAGCCTTTAAAGTACACTTGTCTCCACATGAGCTAGTCCTGGCTGCAGTTGTCAGCCCCTCACACCTTTTGGAACCCGAACCCCGAGTCTTCTCAGACCTTGTCAGGATCCACTCTGAACCCCCAAGTTGAGAACTGCTGGTCTAGTTTAACTAGCAGCACGTGAAACCACAAACCTAACAGCTTAATGCCCTCTTAGTAGATAGCAGCATACAAAGAGTAAAGTAACATGTGCTTCAGTTGCCTCTGGCAAGAGGATCGTGCCGTTGCATTTCAGTAGCCCAACAATAAGGACTTTGATGAGACATCTATGTGATTTATAGTATTTCCAGGCTTCAAGAAAATACTACAGTGGCAGAGCTGAGGGTAAGCCTACGCGAGGAGAACCGGCTGCCAACCTACCCCTTTACAAACAATTTGCTCAAGACTAAAAGAAACTCAAGAGAGCACAACTAAATGCATAGCATTTTACTGGTATTAATGCTTCCACAGCGTCTGTGGACACTTCTGTTATTTCAGTCCAAAAACTGCTGTATGTGGGAAAAATCTTTCAGAATACAGCAACACCATTTAAACAACGTTTAGATTGGGGTGTTAATCAAACTTATAAGATAAAGTACATGTTGGGGAATATTTAGCCTACCACAGCATGTTTGACTTCGTGTTTTTCCATGAACTCCCTCTTCAACTCAAAGTTTTACTCAGGCTTTACCCCGAACCTGTTAATTGTTGGAAACTACAGAGGACTACCTGGTATAATCAAAAGAATATTTTTAAGTCTTTATGTGGGGAAAAGCCCATATGTTTAACAAAACATCACAGTAACACTCATGCCACAGTGAAGATGCTGGCGTATTACTGGCAGTTCTGTCACTGAGAAACTGTTGTTCAAACCTTCATGTTCACCCCTTTAGGATTCTTTCAACGAATTGATACGTGCACAGATTTTCAACGCAGGTCCAAGCTTAATATTCATTGCACTCATAAGGTGGTCCTCCTTCAACAAGAGGAGAGCTTGTCCATCAATTTCTTGTGCTCTAAATTCATCCGCAATATCTTGACAACCTGCAAGGCAAGAGGAAAAAAAAGGAATTCCTGGGTTAGAAACGTGCACTCTTAGATGCAATGACTCTGTCCACCCCAAAGCTTTTCAGCTGCACAATTTTCAATGCTCGTCCCTTTAGCTTGTAGAACCCAAGGTGTATGCAAGAGTTCAATACTACGATGGGAATTTCCAGGATAATCTGAAAGTAATTTTTACCACATCCTCTAATTACACACTGTAATTATTGGAGAACTACTCATTGGAAATTTCAAGTCCAATTTCTCATTTCATTAAGAGGAACACTCACCATCATCTCACAATTGAAAGAGACTGGCAAAATACCACCGAAAAAGCAATCAAATAAGAGCATAATTCAAGTGGGTTCTTTCCAGCAATAAAAAGACATGAGTATTCTACTGCTATGTACAACTCTGTGACAAAATTCACAGAGCTACAATTTCTAAAAGATGTTAATTCCATCTATATGTTACCACCACTGGAGAAAGTAAACAGAATTTTGATTTATGGGCTTTAGCAGAACTGTCCCACAAAGACATTTATCATCAGTTACCTGAGAGAATATTCTGTACATAGCAATAACTCAGAAGTGCAACTTTAAACTAGTTGGATTTTATTTATTTTAATTATAAATATAATTATAACCTCTTTTTCTGAACATGAAATGACATGGTCTCAGGTTACTGAGCCTACAACATAGGCAAGAGGGCTCTCCGTGGGTTGGACTGTCCCAAGTAACTGAGGGCCCCTTTCCACTGAAGAGCACTGTGGAAACCAAAGGTTCCTCAAAAGAAGTTCTGGACGTGTGTTAAGCAGCAGCAGTTAGTTATGCCTGGCTGTACAGCAGCTCTGTTAGATGGACAAACAGCTTCTAACAATGTAAGAGCACTCTTTGTCAGTTATTTATTTGAAGCTTCTTTCCCCATAGCCACGTTTTTCGTGTTTTCTATGTATTTATGTTCTCAATCCAGTGGTCTCTCCATCTGTCTCAGAGTCTGTCTGGCACGTTTTAATTTGTGCTCCACCTTCCATTCCTGCTTTCAATTATTCCTCAGTTAAGCCTATTTTTTTTTTGCATTTTCACATTTACCCCTGTTCTAAAAGTATATTATTACAGAGATATGAAAATACTGTGAAGAACTCCTTTTCCACCCCAGATGAGAGCAACTGACTAATTTCATGTCCTCTTGTGCGTTCAGCTTTAAATTCTATAAAGAATAGCTAAGTCTAATTTCCTGATGGATTTACAGATGTGTAAGAGACAAATAAAAAGGAAATGTGGAAGGAAGTATAGACATCCAAACCTTAATTCATTTGGATTATTACTGAGTAGTGGTTGTAGCACACAAGGTTAGAAAAGGTTAACTTTTCACAAAAGAATAAAGCACAATTTCTTTTTCTTAGTGGTTTGTTAAACAGACCTCATGCAACACCTGAGTAGTGGTTGTAGCACACAAGGTTAAAAAAGGTTAACTTTTCACAAAGAATAAAGCACAATTTCTTTTTCCTAGTGGTTTGTTAAACAGACCTCATGCAACAATTAGCTGCCACTTTATTAAGGAAAGGGAAAAATTACAAGATAATTTGAAAAGAGAAAGGGTCATCTTATGGAATTTTATTGTAGCCTCTGGCTATACCTCTAAACCTTTGTAATTTAGGTTACAACTGTATAAACTACAATCCCCAAAGTGAAACAGTCACTCAGTAGCAGCTGGCTAAATTTTAATCAGAATTAAGGATGTATTTCTGGGAAAGGTATTGCTGTATGTCAGACTTGAGACCTCAACACAGTGATTGTCAGACCACAGCATTGACAAAGAATCTGGGAGATCAAGAGAAGTTTTTACATTTTGGAACAAAATGGTCCTATTAAGATAGAAAATAACTGGTGGTTGTTGCAGGCTTTTTTCCTTTAAGTAGGACAGGAAGCATTTCCATTCAACTTCTAAAATACCTTTTATCAAAGTAATTCTGGAAAAGCAAAGGATGACAGTTGAATGCCTTGCAGTCCCCTCATCCGAGCGCTTTCACAATTGGCTGTTGTGCAAGAACTTAACTAAAAAAAAGATGGGAAGCGGGTGAAAGACCATTAATCTTGCAACTGAAGAAAGAAAGGAGGAACAACTCCACTGGGGCTTAAAATGTTGCTGTCTCTACCCCTGAGAAGAAATAAGTACGGGTAAAAGTGTCCTACAATCTTCATTTCTCCGAAAGACTCCAGAGGAATTGAGGAAAAGCCTGACAGGGACACTTGACTCCACAGTTAGATCTCACCTACAGAATCTCTGCAGAAAGCTGTCAATCAAACCAGACATCCCTAATGTTTATGAAAAGCTGACAAATCACCATCCCCTACGACACAACAGATGGTCTGCACTAAGTACATATTGCAAGAGAGCATAATGGAAGTGAATTATATTATTTCTTGTATTATTCAGCTCTGGCAGCACATAAATTATTTTTTCAAAGAGAGTAGCTTGAGAATATATTGAACGAAATAAACCCCAAAATTGCCAAAACCCATGAACGTAGCTATGTAACAATAAAAATTCTGGCAGGTTGGGAATATAATTTTAAACACTTTTATAAAAAACTTTTATAAAAGTTTATTTTATAAAATAAAAGTATTTCAGAAACTAGGTCTTAATATGGATGGGAATGAGCAATTGTAATATATTTTCATTAAATGCAGAGAAATATAAAGTTTGTTTAAAAATCAAAGACTACCTTGTTTATATAATACAAAAAAAACCCCAGGTCCAGCAGCTGGTGAAGTACTCTATAAGTAATGGTTTCGGAACAGAAACCACATTTTAAGAAGAATATTTTTGTTTTCATACTTGCAAGTGAATTGTGTTTGTGGTACACTAAGTTTTCTAGCACAGGAAGTTTATTCTTTTGCAGAACCTAAGGTCAAGATGTTATTGAATTAACTAGAGCCACAAATCTATAAAAATAGTAAATTGTGTTTATGTGGTACACTAAGTTTTCTAGGACAGGAAGTTTATTCTTTTGCAGAACCTCAGGTTAAGACGTTATTGACTTAACTAGAGCCACAAATCTATAAAAATAGTAACTCAAACCAGCAGAGATACAGTTCTATTCCAGTAACAGCTAAAGTACTCAAACACAAATGACCACACCTTAAACTGAAGGAGCTTTCCTTGGTCTTTTACACAGATCATTGCAGGTTCCCAGAAGCAGATAATGTAAACTTAATTGTTTTTTTTACACAGATCATTGCAGATTCCCAGAAGCAGATAATGTAAACTTAATTGTCATTTATAAACTGTCAAAAAGTACTTCAAGAATGGATTTTGCTGGTCTTACTGATTTTGCAATGGATTTTGCTGATCTTTTACATCTCTTACTCAATTCTTTGCCTGACGTACTTTACATAAGATCCTCTGTCAGAACCCATGTGTATGACTTAGCAATGAAGATAATTCCTTACAGGTTATTAGCCTCATGGGGTAACATAGAAAAATGGTTTAACATTCCAGAAAAAGCAGAAAATTAGAAAAAAATCTTAACCTGGGTGAATGTTTTGACATGTGAGTTACATGGGTAAGCAACAGAAATTCTTGTATGACTGCTGTTATGGAGACCTGCCTCGTTACCTGGAAGGATTACAGTGTCTGATCAGAGAGAATGGCATCCTAGGGAAGGAGTGGGGAGTGAAACTTTAAAGCTTAAGATAAAGCTTATGATAAAGCTGGCATCATTAGGAAATGATAAATAAACGTCAAGTAACCCGAAGATGATATAAAGGTAACTCTGAATATTCTAAAGAAAAGTTGGTAAATAAGGAGAAACATGTTTATTTTTTTCTGAGAACAGACTGTGTACCGGGACGCAGAGTCCATGTGCACAAGTTCTCTGCATTTCAGTTACTGAGCAAAGCTACGCAAAACAAAGTTTAGCTTTATAGAAGAAACTTGCTCATTCTCTTTTAATGGCTTCTATCAGGACAGGTCTTTCAAATTTTTCAGCTGCATAAAGGGAAATAACTCTCTTCTTGCTTTTCCTACTGAGTAATCAGCAAGTAAGGAGGGCAGAGAAGACAGACGTGTAGAAGGAGGAAGCGTGTCTGATCTGTCTACTGACCTCTGGAGAGAAGTCAGACTGAAGGGAGGAACAGCTCTAATCTCCATCAGCTGGGATGCAACAGCAGAAGTGGAACTAGCTCTATCAACATGGGATTTGTGCTGAAGGAACAAGCAAGAGGAAACAAATCACATTCTGGTTTCTATCAACAACTAACAAGTACCCTAGTGCTGCTCCCACGCCACCTCCTCATCACACTGCTGCTAAAAAGCAAGGAATTTTACTGTTAAAAAACAAAAACAAATCAAAAGGAACAAGTTATTGAAGTTATTGCACGTTACATACCAGGCAAAGAATGTATAAAGGCCCAAACTTCATCGACAGTCCATACTGATGGGTCGGCTTGAACCACTGGTAACAAGTCAATGCTCTCTGGCATTTTCCTAATTCTCAGTTCCCTAAGTTCCCGTTCTCTCTCTCTTTCGCTCTGTCTTCGCAGACGGGTGGTCATGGCAGTTGGAACAGCATCTTCATGAGAAGCCGTATCTTCTTCTGCAGATGGATAAGTAATTGGAAGCTGGAAAACGTAGTACAAATACACTACAGTATTATATTTTATTTGTAATTCCCAAAACAATGCCATAGTTTGAAGCAAATATTCCACAGACCTGTCTAAGAAAATGATCTCGTGACGCCCCATCAGGGCCACTCGGTCGACGCCCGCGTCGCCCAAGACTTTGGCTATCTGACTTCCGATTCCAACGACTGGTCTTGTCTGACGTAAACAGCCCAAATTTCTTAGTGCAACTAAGGCTGTGCCTAAAGAAGTAAGATATATTCAATAATGCACTAATAGGTCTTTGGACTGAAGTCAATCAAGTAACCATAAAATTACAGTGTTGTAGAAACGCTGCCTAATTAAAGACAACAGCAGCTCTCACAGAAATACAAGAGAAAGGCATCTCAAAGGCCATTTACTCAACCCCCTTGTCTTGATGCATGATAAGGTACATCTAGATCACCCCTGGAAGATGTCCCTCTTTCCCATTCTTAAAAATTTTCCATGATGGAAATACCTTTGCATTTTATCATAATCAAATCCCTCTTCCCTAAAACATTCACTAAAAGCCTCAAGTCACATTGAATCTTTTGCATCCGCTTTCTCTACCTGGCTGATACCCAGTCAAAGGAGGATGGAGGCAAAAAATCTCAATTTAAGATTAAGGGGCCAAATTCCTTTTTAAGATTATTTCACTGGTAGAGTCCCAACAAGTACCAAATCAAAAATGCACATTCCCACTATTTAAACTGGGAATGTCTCACACAGGGATTAAAAAAGTAGCAGCCATAAGAGAAAGGTGGTCTCTAGGCACATGATGAAAGAAAAATAACTAAGTGGTGATTAGAAATGGGAGACTATTCCTCATTTCTAAAACAACTGGGATTAAATATCAATTTTCCAGCTGTAATGATGGAAGATTTTACATTCAGATATTCCTCTGAATTCTTCCTCTCTCAACCGAAACAAAAGCAAAGTACTGAACCCAAAGAGAAACAGAAACCAGCTGTTTTCCTCTGCCAACCACATACAAGCAAACAGCATCACTTATTATTTTCAAGACAGGAGAAGCTTTAGAAAACTCTAAATTATTTATGTTTATGAATATTTCTATTTTACTCTATGCAAATAAAGAATTTTACACTGTTACTAAAAAACATTTTAGGATGTTTTTATGTATGCAGCTTTTCAATTATGCCAAGATAAACTGAGTGGGTTTTTCCCCCCAGCATCACAGAAAACTGGAAGAAAGCCCCTCCCCCCCCCCAGCCCAGCATTATTCTTCTGACATTGTCCAACATCAGGGGGAAAGACAACAGGAATATAGGAAATATGTAACAAATTGTGGCTCTGCACCAATTTCCAAACACTTAGTCACCCTTCATGGATTTCTCTTCCATGATACCCATCACCTTTGCATAAGCCCAACAGCATTCAACGGCACCCTCTGGAAAGAGGTCCACAATTTTTCTGTAATTCCCTTTATCTATCTTCTTGAAAGACATCATAATCTACCATAGTCCTTTGTACCCATATACTCTGCAAATTCAGGTAGAAGGCAGTCACTTTTTACTGTTTCTTTATTTTTCCAACATCAGATACTATTTGGGTGCTATTCCATTAACCGAATAATGATAAGCAATAACTAGACAGAGTACCTTTTGGCACAGGATGTGGAGCAGAATCTTTTTGACCGTAGAAACTTATCAGAATATCCCATTTTCCCACAAAATTCACACTTCAGAAGTTCGTTTTCAATTTCATCCAGTCCCTCTAAAGAAAGGAACGAGGCATAAAGAAGTCAGTTTCAATGACATAATTATGTTTGAATTTCTCATCTGAAGCAGGCATGTAGAAGATTTTCAAGTACCTAATACATTTAATTAAAAACTTTGATTAGCTTAGCTTTGCATAATTTTCGGTAAGTCAGAACTTAGATCTTGAGCAAACTGAACCTTACTGAACCTTCAATTATGTTACTCAATGAACTTAATCAGCTTTTTTGTTAAATTTCAAGCCATCCATGAGCAAGTGTACCCTCAAACACAGCGAACAATGAAAAAGAAGTGTCACAGTCCTCATGAATTGCTTATAAAGGGTTCATTAAGGGAACCGGGCATTCCACAGCTCTGATTGAAGCTCTCCTGTCATGACAAAATGCATTACCCTTTTAAAATACCTTCTTTGAATAAGCAACTGCTACAACCAAAGGGACTTGTGAAAGCAAGTAAAACATTGAATCTTATCTTTGAAAAAGATAAGCTGCATGTAAGAAAGAAAAGGATTATAGGGCTACAAAGACGATCCGGGCTATAAAGATGATGAAAGGCCTAGAACATCTCTTTTATGAGGAAAGGCTGAGGGACTTGGGGCTTTTTAGTCTGGAGAATAGAAGACTGAGGGGGGATCTGATCAACACCTATAAATAATTAAAGGATGGGTGTCAAGAGGATGGGGCCAGTCTTTTTTTAGTGGTGCCCAGGGACAGGACAAGAGGAAATGGGCACTAACTTGAACATAGGAAGTCCATCTAAACATAAGAAGACCTTCTTCACTTTGAGGGTGGCAGAGCCCTGGAACAGGCTGATCAGAGGCTTTTTATCCTGGAGAAGACTGAGGGAGGATCTGATTAACACCTATAAATACTTACTGATCAGAGAGGTGGTGGAGTCTCCATCTCTGGAGACGTTCAAAACCTGCCTGGACACATTTCTGTGCAACCTGCTCTGGGTGACCCTGCTCTGGCAGGGGGGTTGGACGAGATGATCTCCAGAGGTCCCTTCCAACCCCATATCATTCTGTGATTCTGTGATAAGCACCTACAGTCTACAGTTACAGAGTATTTTTCTGCTGTTGGTAAGATGAAGAGACACTTTTCTTACATCTTCTGAAGAACTCAAACAGCAGCTGAGAGAAGAAGAAAGTGAATCAGTGAAAGAAAAAGCAGAAAGGCCCAAAAGAAGGCAGTAGAAGGCACCAAGACAGCCCATTACACGCTGAATGTCTGTGTTCTCTTCTGCTGGAAGCGTATTTGGTGGGCAAAGCATCATCTGTACAGTTTAGAATAATCCCACCATATCTGCAAACCAACTTGCCTTCTGGCTTGGAAAAAAACACCCTTATCCCCATGCACCATCTGTGAACTACATCATAAGGATGGGAAGAAGTGAAACGGGCACAAACTGAAATGTACTATTTTGTGGTCATTTGGGTTAAGAACTGCAAGTCACGCAGCTACGATCACGGACAAAAGACACTGCTCAGAAATTCAGAGAACTAAACACACATACATTTGTTCCACACTTCTAATTTACCTGAGCCACTGCTTCATATACTTTGCCTCTTGCTATTCACCTTCTGTGTCCATACTTTTAATTTTACATAATTATTTGCAAAAATTGCAAACTAGGTTTTTGTTCTAAACTCTTTGTTAAACTCCGATGCTCACAAAAATGCAGTTATCAACATTTAACTGAAAGATTTTAACTATGAATTTGTAAAAGTCTGTTATAGCGATGTTAACACACTAAACTGCTTGCAAACACTATTGTACCAACAAGATAAAAAAAAAAGCACTAGCGCAGCAAAGAGCTGAAAATACTGAAAAGGGGATTTGAATAAGGTTATCTGATGTACCAGGATTCAAAGACATAACTGAAGTCAACAGCAGCATCAGACTGAAAATTATCATGTTAGGATCACAGAATGGTTCGGGTTGGAAGGGACCTTAAAGATCATCCAGTTCCCACCCCCTGCCCTGGGCAGGGACACCCCCCACCTGAGCAGGTTGCTCCAAGCCCCATCCAGCCTGGCCTTGAACCCCTCCAGGGATGGGGCAGCCACAGCTTCTCTGGGCAACCTGTCCCAGTGTCTCACCACCCTCACAGGAAAGAATTTATTTCTATTATCTAATCTAAATCTCTTGTCTTCCAGTTTAAAACCATCACCCGTGGTCCTATCACTCCACTCCCTGATAAAGAGTCCCTCCCCATCTCTGCTGTAGGCCCCCTTCACGTACTGGAAGGCTGTTACAAGGTCTCCCCAGAGCCTTCTCTGTTGCAGGTCTCGAACTTAATAAATAAATTTATTAAAAAAAACCTACAAACCTTCTGCAATCATATCCTCTATCTCTGTGTCCGATGAGTTGTCTGCATGTTTTGTATTCTGCAAGTCTGATTCAACACACACAACACTCATGATTTGACCCTCCACCAGCAATCTTTTTTCTGCAGGCTGTTCCACCAGCAAAGATGAACGACTTACCTATTGCAATAAAAGCAAAGCAATAGTGATTAACTGAACAATTAATATTTTAAAATAGCATTTGCAACTTAGCAGTTGTACCTGAGACTAGAATCAGTTTCTATTCTGTACCAATGAATCATTATAATGTAGTGCCAAAGCTCCAAATACCATTTCTCCAATACAGAGACTCACTGCTACTCTGCTGAGATTGCAGCTACACTTAACAAAGGAAGAAATACATTCTATCTAGAGAAATGAAGGAATGTTAAAATGAGAGACATTAAATCAGTTAATAAGGCAGGCTCACAGGTTTTAAAATGTCAATTTGTGCATTTAAATTTTCAGTAGTAATTCTCACCAGACACAGTGCTAATCACACTGAGCTCAGTAAGGGGTTTGGCCACTGCTTTAAACAACAAACTTTTAACAGACTCATCTCAGAAGTTTAAATTAAGGTATCACTTAAATTGAGGTATCTAGAAGACAGACAAATGTAAAAAGAAGTGATTGCAAATGGTAGCCTCTGTATTTATCTCCGGATACAGCCTGTATATTCCACTGTGTCTCTGTTTCCATGTAAGTTCCTTGTCACCCAGTGACAGTGACAAGGCAAACAGCAGCATTAATCCTGATTATGTAGGTAAGACAATACAAACAGTACACAAGGATACTGAATGTTGTAGGAAACAGGTTACCAATCAGTGGAAAAAAGGCCACAACCAACATTTGAAAAATGATTCAAGATCTAAACAGCTACTAGCCGCAAGCAACACCATCCTTAAAAATAGTTTGTTTCAAAAATTGAGATGAGGAAGCACATTTCTTATATCTTCTGAAGAACTCAAACACCAGCTGAGAGAAGAAGAAAGTGAACCAGGGAAAGAAAAAGCAGAAAGGCCCAAAAGAAGGCAGTAGAAGGCACCAAGACAGCCCATTACACGCTGAATGTCTGTGTTCTCTTCTGCTGGAAGCGTATTTGGTGGGCAAAGCATCATCTGTACAGTTTAGAATAATCCCACCATATCTGCAAACCAACTTGCCTTCTGGCTTGGAAAAAAACACCCTTATCCCCATGCACCATCTGTGAACTACATCATAAGGATGGGAAGGAGTGAAACCAGCACAAACTGAAATGTACTATTTCGTGGTCATTTGGGTTAAGAACTGCAAGTCACGCAGCTACGATCACGGACAAAATACACTGCTTAAAAATTCAGAGAACTAAACACACATACATTTCTCCCACACTTCTAATTTACCCGAGCCACTGTTTCATATACTTTGCCTCTTGCTATTCACCTTCTGTATCCATACTTTTAATTTTACATAATTATACGCAGCTACGATCACGGACAAAAGACACTGCTCAGAAATTCAGAGAACTAAACACACATACATTTGTTCCACACTTCTAATTTACCTGAGCCACTGCTTCATATACTTTGCCTCTTGCTATTCACCTTCTGTGTCCATACTTTTAATTTTACATAATTATTTGCAAAAATTGCAAACTAGGTTTTTGTTCTAAACTCTTTGTTAAACTCCGATGCTCACAAAAATGCAGTTATCAACATTTAACTGAAAGATTTTAACTATGAATTTGTAAAAGTCTGTTATAGCGATGTTAACACACTAAACTGCTTGCAAACACTATTGTACCAACAAGATAAAAAAAAAAGCACTAGCGCAGCAAAGAGCTGAAAATACTGAAAAGGGGATTTGAATAAGGTTATCTGATGTACCAGGATTCAAAGACATAACTGAAGTCAACAGCAGCATCAGACTGAAAATTATCATGTTAGGATCACAGAATGGTTCGGGTTGGAAGGGACCTTAAAGATCATCCAGTTCCCACCCCCTGCCATGGGCAGGGACACCCCCCACCTGAGCAGGTTGCTCCAAGCCCCATCCAGCCTGGCCTTGAACCCCTCCAGGGATGGGGCAGCCACAGCTTCTCTGGGCAACCTGTCCCAGTGTCTCACCACCCTCACAGGAAAGAATTTATTTCTATTATCTAATCTAAATCTCTTGTCTTCCAGTTTAAAACCATCACCCGTGGTCCTATCACTCCACTCCCTGATAAAGAGTCCCTCCCCATCTCTGCTGTAGGCCCCCTTCACGTACTGGAAGGCTGTTACAAGGTCTCCCCAGAGCCTTCTCTGTTGCAGGTCTCGAACTTAATAAATAAATTTATTAAAAAAAACCTACAAACCTTCTGCAATCATATCCTCTATCTCTGTGTCCGATGAGTTGTCTGCATGTTTTGTATTCTGCAAGTCTGATTCAACACACACAACACTCATGATTTGACCCTCCACCAGCAATCTTTTTTCTGCAGGCTGTTCCACCAGCAAAGATGAACGACTTACCTATTGCAATAAAAGCAAAGCAATAGTGATTAACTGAACAATTAATATTTTAAAATAGCATTTGCAACTTAGCAGTTGTACCTGAGACTAGAATCAGTTTCTATTCTGTACCAATGAATCATTATAATGTAGTGCCAAAGCTCCAAATACCATTTCTCCAATACAGAGACTCACTGCTACTCTGCTGAGATTGCAGCTACACTTAACAAAGGAAGAAATACATTCTATCTAGAGAAATGAAGGAATGTTAAAATGAGAGACATTAAATCAGTTAATAAGGCAGGCTCACAGGTTTTAAAATGTCAATTTGTGCATTTAAATTTTCAGTAGTAATTCTCACCAGACACAGTGCTAATCACACTGAGCTCAGTAAGGGGTTTGGCCACTGCTTTAAACAACAAACTTTTAACAGACTCATCTCAGAAGTTTAAATTAAGGTATCACTTAAATTGAGGTATCTAGAAGACAGACAAATGTAAAAAGAAGTGATTGCAAATGGTAGCCTCTGTATTTATCTCCGGATACAGCCTGTATATTCCACTGTGTCTCTGTTTCCATGTAAGTTCCTTGTCACCCAGTGACAGTGACAAGGCAAACAGCAGCATTAATCCTGATTATGTAGGTAAGACAATACAAACAGTACACAAGGATACTGAATGTTGTAGGAAACAGGTTACCAATCAGTGGAAAAAAGGCCACAACCAACATTTGAAAAATGATTCAAGATCTAAACAGCTACTAGCCGCAAGCAACACCATCCTTAAAAATAGTTTGTTTCAAAAATTATTAGTAAAAGAATTCACGGTGACTCTTACACTTACAGGGAATGGCTCTAACCCCTCCTGAATCACAAAACCTTCAATAACGTGGGTCAGGATCTGTGGCTTCACAATAGCCTGAGGAGGTTTGTTTTCTAGGCTGGGGATGCTGTTGGGCATCGATGTGCTGTTGCTCCTTGTTGTTGCTGCTGGAAGCAAAAGAGGTGGGGGTGGAATAGAGGCATGTGAAGGGTCAGATGGAGATTTAATTACTGAGGCACTGACTGATGACGTCACTGAAGGTAGTCCCCCATGGTCTGAAAAAAATAATAAGGTACATTATGTTTTAATCACTTATATCCAACCGTTGGCTCCAAATTCTAGAACTAAGAGGCGATAAACACATCCATCTCTGTACCCATCATCCTGTAATCCTAGGGCTTTTCCCTAGGATTTATAGATTTTACCTTCAAAACAAGACAGTTTGCCTCGACAGACTATTCCGCCAACAAACAGCTCTCAGGGAAACATTTTTCTTTACTCAGTACCTACTCACTATAAGCATTTATTGCCTACACAAATCACAAATCTGTAAGTCAAGCAGAAATCAGTATTTTCAAACACTGATCTCAAGACTGAGCAGTTGAGGTATTTCTAACGAGATAATTTATTTTCAGGAATGCTTTGAGCCTCAATAAGCTGCAGGGTCACAAGTACATACAATATCAGGCTACTAAACACCACTAAGCACCCAGTTTTAGTTTCATGTGTAGAAAAACACGTATTTTGCCTGTATCACACAGCTATCACCTAAAGATTAACTGGAGATTGACACTCCTGTTAAGATTAGTATAAAGTATATTAGTTAAGATTAGCATAAAAGTATATGCTAAAGAGCTCAAATAAGCATTTTCTGTGATATATGTTATCCAAGTACATATATAAGCTACATCTTTGGGCCTGAATCATTTGTTCTATCACATGGATCTCTAATATATTCCATATAGCTTCTTTTACTTAAAAAATGACAGCACTAAATCATAACAAAGATCAAAACCATAGATTTTTGTTTTAAAAGACCACTAAGGAGCAGAAGTTTCTAAGCAGAACAGCTACCTTAGTTTGACATTTGCTCTCACCTGACAAAGGATCATCGGAATGAAGCCCCTCTCCGTTCCCCAGGGGTATGGCTGGTGGGGACAAAGTGGGCGGCGTGGGCGTTCTGGCCATATGGACACACTCGGAGTCCTCGGGCATCTCTTCTTCACACACATTCTCCACTTGGTAAATCTGCATCCAACAAACTATTGCTTTAGAGAGATTTCCATTCTAGCTTAATACCTTAAAAGAGTTGCATAAATACAGTTTTTAAAAGAAATTACCGGTTAAAATGTTAAAATACGATTCTAATCTCCTAATATAAATACTAGTTTCCAAACCACCTACAAAACAACAAACTCTGGGGACATCACGATGCCTATCACAGCAAAATTAAAGTATTTTGTTACAAATAGCAAAATATAGAGGCACAGCATCCCTATCAAAAAGGCCAGAGAACTCAACTTTTTCGATATCTTATCTTTATAGTTTACTGTATTTTTATTTACAAGCATATTTGTAGCTGTTTAAACACTTCTGCAAAATGCAAGCTTTATAACAAAATGAGAAGTCTGCAAATTGCTCTCTATCTTATAAAGCAGCATAATCAAACTGAGTATTTCAGAAGAGTACACCAAGACTATCAAGTATTAGTGGTTGTAAGAGATTATAAAGTATATTCCTCAAAACTATAAACATAAACTTCCATGAATTACCGGCAGCCAGTTTAGCAGATTAGGATGTAAAACACCACCCTGTCAAAAGCAAATGTGGCTTCTGCTTTTTTGCCCAATTGCTACATGAAGTATCAGAGAGTTGAGATAATCATTAGCCTCTTAATATAAATTAAAAATAAACAGCACAACTTCTTCCTTAACCTGTTGGTAGCTTGAAAAAAGCCTGCAAGAGCTGCTGATAGTTTTGCTGACATTACTGTCATTAGCATGTTACCACTAAAGCCTAGCAATGCCATCTGCAATGTCAGCTTTATTTGCATATCATTTTATTTCACTGATATTTCACTGTAGTTGATTTTGGTCCAGTGTGAGTGAAGCCGAAACCTTCAGTTACAAACTGCAGACGTCTGAGACTAACACTGAACTAAATTAAAATGGCAGAGATGGGGAAGGCCGAGATGGCATCAAAAATTCCCCTATTCTTTTATGAAGATCTTTTCAATGCTAGTACAAAATTAATTGTCCAGAACTCTATTATCTGAATAATCTGCCATATAATTTGTACCTAGTATAGAGATGTTTCCCCTCTTCAAGATGTTGGCTGCCTATATTATATTTGCATTAACATAAAGAGGTAAAAGCTTACAGTCCCTGTGGCTTATTTATCAAAATTCATTTTGATCTAAGCATTGTCATACATTTACTTGCTTTTTTAACTTTAGATCCGCTTCAATTTCACTAGGAGGTAAGATTTTAAGTCCAAAAGTTGCACATTCATAATTCTTGGTTGATATTCTTGACTGATGAACCATTACAAAAAGCCAACAAATAAAATGAGAGGAAAATGTCTACTGTTTTCTTAGAAGATTATTTCTGTAATCAACAGGTTTCTGCTCGTGCTCTGTCTTGCACCTGGTTTAGCTCCTTCTGAAGTCAACAGGGCAGATTCAGAGAAGCTGAGGATAAAGGACTGTAATATCACCACTTACCACTGGAGTTTCAATTGGTACCGATGGCTGCACTTGCAGATTTACTGCAACAGTCTGTGGCGGTGGAAGAGTTTGAAATGGCAGCTGGACCAAAGCTTCTGCAGCGGGAAGTTCTTCCTCAGAAACCAAAGTGTTTTGAACCAAAACCTGGCCCTGGGAGAGAATTTCAGGCTGCACTTGCAAAGACTGCACAGACTGTAACGGCAGCTGTTGAATCTGGGTTGAAGACGTGGAGAGCTGAGGAGGAGCTGCCAGAGGAATCGGTGTGGACGGCAAGGCTGAGTATGGCTGGTGTGGCGTCGAGGACACGATCTGTTGGCCTGGGGAAACTAAGGTGGGCTGATCTACTGAGCCTATGTGGACAGCAGGGGAAGGTGGGAGAGGAAGATGTGATGGAAGATTAAGTGGCTGTGCAATTGGTCGAACTGGATTGGTGGTGGTGGTTTGCTGAGGAGCAGCCTGCTCTGGCTGAAGAGCTGCTGGCACCAAGGAGTTTGCCTGGGACTGAATAAGCGCTTGAGGGTGAATAATTATCGTGGGTGATTGACTGGGGGAGTGAGAAGGTGGAGGGGACACCACTACGGACTGCTGGGCTGACTGGGATGGAGTGGGGGACAGCGTTAGAGGGGGAGGATGGATGTGGATGGGTGAGCAATGAGACTGGACACTACTGGGAGCTGGAGGAAGACTGTGGCTTGGGAGAGGGAGGCAGTGCTGGGACGGAGGGGGCTCCTGGCCCCCGGGGGTCTGAAGGGCAATGGGCTGGACCTGCTGCTGCTGCTGCAGTATCAGCTGATGATGGGAGATCTTCGGAGGCGGTGAATGAAGTGGGATCTGCTGATGTTTTACTAGAGAATGAGGTTGCAATGGAGAATATGAAGCTGTGAGGCAGGGAGGAAAGAAGTGACAATTAGTAGTTATTTCTTTAAGTTCAGAGAACATTATAAAAATATTAAAAGAAAGGAAGGTTTTACTTTAAAGTAAGACCAGCACAACTTTTTCAACTTTTTGGATCTATGTTTAGAAATACCTTCTTTGACAGGATATAGTACAAGAAAATTTATCTGGGGAATATACCAATTTCCAAAGCAAAACACAGCAATGAACAAAGAAACACAGCCAAGCTTTTTACATATATATCATTTATCTGGGGAATATATAAATTTCCAAAGCAAAACACAGCAATGAATAAAGAAACACAGCCATGCTTTTTACATATATATACACATATATGTATTTTCTATATAAAAGTATCTAAACTTATCTTGTTGATGCTATTTCTAAGACTACAACTAAAAAAGAAACACAGCCAAGCTTTTTACATATATATACACATATATGTATTTTCTATATAAAAGTATCTAAACTTATCTTGTTGGTGCTATTTCTAAGACTACAACTCAAAAAGCCTTCGCTTATTTAAGAACTTCATGCAACTTTAAATGGATTTAATCTTTGTGTTGAAACAGATTGGAATGGAAGAGATAAGCATGTCACAATCAACAGGGCTTGTTGATAACTGCTAAGCTGAAGTTTAGGCAATATGATTTGAAGAGACTCAACAAAATTCCAAGAGTTCAGTATGAATTAAAAGCTTTCCAAGTATGTGCCTGAACTTGAACACAAAAACTCAAAGGTATGAATCTAAGAATAGTGCAGCTTCCAGAGAAATCACATCACCTTTAAGCAAACCAATGATTTGCCAGTGATTCCTTACAGCACACGCACATATTTTCCTCCACATGCAAACTTCTTGCTTTGTTTTTACCACTTGAGAAACAACTCATTTATGTTGTCTTTTTTATTATTTATTCTGCTAGTGAAAATGGATTTTTTTCTTTACAGAAGTGAGTTCTAAGAGCACTAGGGCTCAGTTCCTCAGGAATGTCTGCCTCGCAGTCTTTCTCCTCCTCTAAAAGCTGCCATTAAGGCAAGCTAAATTCCACAGAATTCAGACCAATTGTACAGACTTCCCTTACTCTTTCAAAAGAAGGAAGGTAAAATGCAAATGCATTGCAGGCAATGTAAATGCGTATCTAACCAACTGCTTATTTTGATTTATCTCTTAATATAAAATACCAAGACTTTAGGCCACTATCCATGTGGATTTATAAAAATACTTGGTATGAGAACATTCTGATGACACAGACAAGACAGCAAAAAAATAAAAGATTGATGAGGATAAGAGGTTTGAGGTGGTTTCAGATCACCTACTGCTTCCCAGAGATTGGGGACGACATGTCCTGACAATGAGCGTACAGACAGACCAGCAAGGAGAATCATGTTTGTATTATGATTCAGCTGTGTATTGCAATTGCTATATCGTGCCTATATTGTGATTTTAGAACACTGCTGCATCACGCTTCTGAAAATTCCACATAACACCCCATATCAACAAATAAGTAAATTTACTATTAAACATTAAATGCTCTTCATGTGAAATATCTAAAAGAACCCAGTCAGAAAGCATTGCACTCTGACAAAGCCATAACATACAAATTAACATTAATTACAGTAACTTTCTTATCGCTCCATTTTCATCCTACCTGGTGCTATTAAGTGATGGATGCTGGATGTCCGTGTGACTGGTGCACTCCGACACTCCGGAGTTGGGCTCTCGCCTTTTCTATTGCTTTCTGAGGGATCTGGTTGGCTGCCCTTGGAGCTGGTTACAGGTTTATTGGGGCACAGAGACAAGGACTGGGTTTGACTGCTGCTCTTTGGTGGGCCATTCTGGGAACTTGACAATACACCCAACTTCTGGCTGCGCAATGTCAAGTTCTGAACCTGGGGGAAAGGAGCAAAAACATGAAAATAAAACAAACCGTAGAAACATCTATGACAAACATCCAGGCAAAAATAGCAAAAGAATGACATTTTGTAGTGCTTCTCATTCCACGTGATCACAATATGTCAGAAGTTAAAAATCTGGCTATCAAAGTATCTTTTAAGCCACAAAATTTGGAGAATAGTGATCTTGAATTACTTCAGCGATAAAGAAAATACAGGAAAGTCTTTTTTCTTATTGAACTTTTAAAAGGAATGGAAAATCTTCATTACATTAAATTTAAACTTGCATTTTTTTCCTCTTTTATTGTGCCTTCAAAGTGAATGACACAAAATTGGTTCACCTAACAAGCCCTGTGTGCCACTGAGACACTGCTAATCACTGATGAGCTTCTAAGCTTCTCCACTATTTCTACGTGGAAGACAATACCATGAGATCACTACACTGTACCTTCACAAACATCCTGGGTAAATGTAATATACACATCTATGTACATAACCAAATGCATTCTTTCTTATTAACTGGCATTGTCTACTTGCTTGGATTTGCTTATATGGTAAACAAAGACATTTCTCTAAACCCAGCTGACAGAAATCTCAAGGACATATTTAACACAAGGTAAAAAAAAATAAAAATGTTCCAGTGTTAAAACTTTTCCATTGCCTCACTGACTACAGATGAAATTGGATCTTTGCAATGTCACTGCTGCTATAGAAACTCCCAGACAGCCCAGGTTAACAGCAATAGGGCACTACTGAACCTTGAGAGGGCAGAGGAACGGCTTGAGCCTGGCAGGGTCACCAGAGCAGCTCATCTGACTGAATAATGCTCTATGGAAATTCTGGAAGGAACAGAAGGAAAGCTTTACCATGCCCTCTTATGAGGACCCAGTGATAAAAGCCTCAGTCTCACAGCCCAGCCTATAGCATACCGAAAGCGCAGTTCCCTTTAGACTCTCAGTCTCATAACATGCCATTTGCTTTGCTGAAAACTCAAACAAAAGGGGAAGAGCTCAACACGTGCTGAGAAAGTAACTGAAAACATACTTAAAGGAAGAGTTGCAAAGCTGCATCCAAGTGAAACTGAAAGCAAGGCTCCAGAAAAGGCTAAAACAAATCAGAAACACCATCAAGAAAAGAGCGCTAATGATCTCACTTTGAGGGCGTTAAGACCAGTGGCAAGGCTCCAGAAAAGGCACACCATCAAGAAAAGAGCGCTAATGCAACAAAGTCAGTGGCAGATGATCTCACTTTGAGGGCGTTAAGACCAGTACAAGAACATTCATTACAATGGACAAACAATGCCAAGGACTAGTACCTCCAACACTTGCCTACCACTCACAAGAAACTTTTGGAAAAGCCTGGGAAGAGCCAAGGTTTCAAATCACTAACGATAGCTAATGGCTTAAGTAATAGTTCTCAACAGGTCAGTTACCAAAATGAAGATACAACTATTCTCTCAACCTTCATTCAGAAGTTCTTACATGAGGCTGACCTCAGTATGAACAACAGTTCCAGGGAAATACATGGAAGCCCTGGTAAATACAACGAAGATTGTCCGAAGGTAAGTCCCATCTAAACATCTGTTGATCAATTCCATAGTATGGCTCAAATAAACAATTTATTGACCAACTTGTACTGTCTGTGATGAAAGTACCTCCACTCACAGTCAAGGGGAACACTGCACACTGAGTAACAAGCAACTATTCATGAGAGGAATACAATTGGTACAGTACTACAAACTGTAATAAAGAAGCAAATTAGTGAGCACACCAACATGCCCTTCTGGGGCCAAGGCAATAATAGGACTTTTGTAAAGGAGAGTCAGTGACTCACAAATCTATTGGAATCCTCTGAAGGGGACAACAAACATAAGGTCAGAGAACATTAAACTGGTATAATTTACTTGGATTTCTGAAAGATTTCTAAATAGGGTCCGTTTACTAAGGGCTTTTAAAACTGCTAAGACAAGAAGATCTTTCCTGAGAGCCCAAATTCATTGGATAAATGTTTGCTTTTCACAGCAGAAGACTGTGACAAAGATGTTCTGTAGACATTTCTGCTGTGCTGTGTGTTTTTTCCAGATGATACGCAAATATGTTGAGCAGTGAAAAGGTGATAAAAGCTGCTAACATGAAGTTATTCAAAGTAATAAAGAGTAGAGCTAAATATGAAGACCTGGAATGTCATATCCCAATTTTACATATACCATGATCACCTCTAAATGAGTGATCATAGTAAACAGAAGACACTGGAGTCATAGATAACCAGCACCCATTCGTAGTTTTTATAAGCAAGTAAAACTTAAGCACAGCATTTCCTTACTTGGCCCACTCAACTGGACATACCTTTAAAAAAATCTACAGAAGCTCACCTGAGTAGCTGCAGACTGACAGGAAGATGAGGAAGATGATGAAACAACAGGAATGTCAGACTGGACAGCAGCCACAGTGGTTGCAGGAGTAAAAATAAGCTGTTAAGCAAGAAAAAAAAAAATCTGATAAAAGACGGAAACTTTGAAAACATGTGAAGGAAACACAATATTTTAAAGAGATACATAAGCTACATGTAGCGATAAAAAAAATAAATCTGATAAAAGACTGAAACTTTGAAAATATGTGAAGGAAACACAATATTTTAAAGAGATAAAAAAATCTGATAAAAGACGGAAACTTTGAAAACATGTGAAGGAAACACAATATTTTAAAGAGAGACACATAAGCTACATGTAGCGATGTACGGCTTTTTTCCTTTCAGATGAACTTACTCAAAGAACAATCTGTCATGGTAGTCTAAGTAAATAAATTTAAAAGGTAGTAATGTAAAATAAATATAATAATGTAAAATATTTGTTCTGCATATTCGGAAAATTATCTTTCTCTCATATAAAGACAGACATATCATCTTTCCTACAAGTGTTTTAAAGAGGGCCTTTCCTTTAATATTATAAATTAGTGAAACAAATCCGGAAAAATATCTCTCTCTCATATAAAGACAGACATATCATCTTTCTTACAAGTGTTTTAAAGAGGGCCTTTCCTTTAATATTATAAATTAGTGAAACAAATCTAAAAAACATCAAGAGAGCAGCCCAATTTCTATAACGTGACAGAAAGAGAACTTAGAAGATCTTCCAATCTGTCAAAATGCTATTTAACAAGCAGAATTGTTTCACCAACTTTACCTAAGCTAATTAAGTTTCATAATGAGAACAGGTATACAACCGACCTGAAATTATTAACTCCCAGTGTACCTAACTGCCATTGCAACCAATATAGTAAAGACAAGCTTTATGGAAAGTTTTGAAGAGAGATCATTAGTCTTCCATGTTTTTTAAAGAGATTTTAAATGCAAGGAGTGGCTTTTGCTTCACTTATTGGGACCAGTTGCAATGTTGACCAGTGCATTGGAAAACAATCTGCCTTGAACATAGCCAGACTGTAGTCTGCCCTTCTACATGGTCAGAAAACACAGGAGCTCTTTTTCTATTTTTCCCATGTTTGATCAATTTAATAATTGTAGTACACCCAGGCTAAAAAAATACTTAAGCAAACTTCACCAGAAAACTACAGGGCAATCCTTTTAGTTCTAGATGTGTTTCAGAAGGTATATATTCACAAATTAGTGACTAAATTCTCAACGCTATTTGAAACTAAAGAAAAATATTTACAAATAATTTAAAGAAAAATATTTATAAATAATTTATAGAAACAAAATAAAACCTGAAACGGTCAAGAGTTTTTTTGGGGGAAGGGGGAAGAGATGACAACAAAGGACAGACCAAAATTAAGCTTAAGAACTGTAATCAAAACTCACCATTTGAGCTCGTAGGTACATCTGAGCCTGGCTTGCACTCAGGGTTGGAGAGGTGCTCCCCAGCAACATGGTCTGTTGGGTAATACTGCTGCTGGTGGTGTTGGAGGTCTGTGAACGGCTTATTATCTGTGCAGGTGTAGGAGAGGTGGAGAGGTTAATCTAAGGAAACAAAAATATTGCTTCTGTCATGGAAATTCATTCATCCTAGGGTCTAAAGCCAGAAAGCCTTTGACAAAAATGGCAGGGGCGGTTGAAACCTCTGAACTGTAAAGATATGAAAAATATATTGAGCCAATCATCATAAAACTGGATTCTGGCAAGATTATACATTTTCAATTTTTAACTGCAAGCAACCATCTAGCAGTAAATAATAATAAGCAGTTACGAGTATAAACAATGATATCATGACATCTGAAAAATATACCTCATAGAAATACACATTCACAGGACACATACCATGAGCTTGAAATATTTTAAGAAAAATACCTGAATTCTAATATTTAAGTATTTTTAAATGTTTATATTATCTGACTGGACTGATACCTTCTGTGATACTTGTTATACAACTTGATCGGGACACTTGTTTGTGCCGCCATACATGGACTTTGATTCCTCATTCTATATATGCACATTTATTGCACAACTGCTCTTTAGTATCTTCTCAAACAAAAGCTGTTGTGGTTTTGGTTTGGGGTTGGTTTTTTTTTCCTAACCAGTCTAACAGAGTTAAGTGCCCAGCTCTTTTTCATCACTTACTCAAAAGATTTCCTTGAAAAATCCCAGCCCAATTATTCTGTTGGTTTAACATCAGACATCTTTAAAGACTTCCCCTCCAAAATTTAATGAATGAATTTACTTCTAACAACCGTAAGCCAAAGCAATGCTATGAGAGCTTAAAAAAAATGTACAGTTAAACCACTGAAGCTATGCACTGAAGTCATGAACAGCTTGAGGGCATGATTAATAAGCAGGATGTCTGCAGGACTAACGAAGTCCTGCTCAAGACAACTGTAGAACTGTACATAAAAGACTGTGCAAATTACATATCTGAAGATGCCGCTTAAAGAAATACAGCATGAACCGAACACAGAGCTGCTAACAACTGAAACCTGAGGATGCATGATAAAAGATGATAATCAATAAAAGAATGAATGCTATAAACTTTTAATCAGTTTCATATATATATATATATATGATCATTGACTTGGATTCTTTAGATTTGGTGCTCTTTAATCACTGATACACAATTCCAATTTTAACCTACAATAATGCCCTGAATAAAGAAACTAATGTGAAAAATTCAATTAAAAAAAACACATAAGAGATGAAAGCTGAGGGAGTGACTCCTGCAGCGGTCTCAACAGTCACTAGTGCTTGTGAAGTGAGCAGCTGCCCCTCAGAGCACCCAGAGTGGGCTGGGACTGGGGAAGCCTCAAAGGCTGGCCAGCAATGATAGTGGCTGGCAGCACCCATCAGGATCGCTGGCAGAGGCTGGAAGTGCTGCCAACACTTCTTGGAGTCGTCATACTTCTATTTACTGCTTCTCTAATACTAATTTTAACCATACAGATTAAAATACTAAAATCTTTTGTGTTTTTCCGAGTAGTTAAATAATAACCAGGAGGGGTTGAGAATGGATGGAGGGCTTGGGTCAGTTACGTACCGAGGTCTGCGACATGCTTGACTGCTGAGTGACACTCCCAGTGGGGGAAGTACATTGCCTCCCACCTGACAGGCTTGCCTAAATAGCAAGAATACGTGTCAAACACTGAAACCAAAAAGTGTTTAAGTGATGTTCACATCATTGCATAAACCATCAGAAACATCCCTCTCTACCATTACCTTTGCTTTGAGCTAACAGTAAAAATGCCTTTATTCAGTAGAACTAGTTTTCAGCAGAGTGCCCCCTGTGCTAAGGAATGCTTTCTGCAACGTGCTAAATGCTCTTAATTCCTACCCAATTTCAGGCACTCAGGTTCTTGCTGATCAAGACTTGAAAAAAAAAAAACCAACAAAAAACTATCAGAGGTGAAGTCTATCAAACTGTTAATGATGGAGCTGACTGATCAGCTCACTCCCTAAGGTGCTCAGAACTTAAAATGAGGCATCATTATAAAGTGTCATCATTAAAGCTCACATCATAATTTTTATTATGATTAGAATCCTCTAAAAATAAAACCAACTTTATAAATGCTGTAAAGAACACGCTTATTCTAGAATGATAATTTATGTATGCACATCTAAGCATCTGTAACAGCTATTCCTGCCCTTCAGGTGAATACAGGGACAGTGAGAGTTAGATTTCTGTATTAACAGCCTGAATACCAAAACTTCTTTGCCTTTACCCATCTGATCGGGACACTTGTTTGTGCCGCCATACATGGACTTTGATTCCTCATTCTATATATGCACATTTATTGCACAACTGCTCTTTAGTATCTTCTCAAACAAAAGCTGTTGTGGTTTTGGTTTGGGGTTGGTTTTTTTTTCCTAACCAGTCTAACAGAGTTAAGTGCCCAGCTCTTTTTCATCACTTACTCAAAAGATTTCCTTGAAAAATCCCAGCCCAATTATTCTGTTGGTTTAACATCAGACATCTTTAAAGACTTCCCCTCCAAAATTTAATGAATGAATTTACTTCTAACAACCGTAAGCCAAAGCAATGCTATGAGAGCTTAAAAAAATGTACAGTTAAACCACTGAAGCTATGCACTGAAGTCATGAACAGCTTGAGGGCATGATTAATAAGCAGGATGTCTGCAGGACTAACGAAGTCCTGCTCAAGACAACTGTAGAACTGTACATAAAAGACTGTGCAAATTACATATCTGAAGATGCCGCTTAAAGAAATACAGCATGAACCGAACACAGAGCTGCTAACAACTGAAACCTGAGGATGCATGATAAAAGATGATAATCAATAAAAGAATGAATGCTATAAACTTTTAATCAGTTTCATATATATATATATATATGATCATTGACTTGGATTCTTTAGATTTGGTGCTCTTTAATCACTGATACACAATTCCAATTTTAACCTACAATAATGCCCTGAATAAAGAAACTAATGTGAAAAATTCAATTAAAAAAAACACATAAGAGATGAAAGCTGAGGGAGTGACTCCTGCAGCGGTCTCAACAGTCACTAGTGCTTGTGAAGTGAGCAGCTGCCCCTCAGAGCACCCAGAGTGGGCTGGGACTGGGGAAGTTCTGATTTTAACCTACAATAGTGCCCTGAATAAAGAAACTGATGTGAAAAATCCAATTAAAAAAAACACATAAGAGATGAAAGCTGAGGGAGTGACTCCTGCAGCGGTCTCAACAGTCACTAGTGCTTGTGAAGTGAGCAGCTGCCCCTCAGAGCACCCAGAGTGGGCTGGGACTGGGGAAGCCTCAAAGGCTGGCCAGCAATGATAGTGGCTGGCAGCACCCATCAGGATCGCTGGCAGAGGCTGGAAGTGCTGCCAACACTTCTTGGAGTCGTCATACTTCTATTTACTGCTTCTCTAATACTAATTTTAACCATACAGAATTCCAATTTTAACCTACAATAATGCCCTGAATAAAGAAACTAATGTGAAAAATTCAATTAAAAAAAACACATAAGAGATGAAAGCTGGATTCTTTAGATTTGGTGCTCTTTAATCACTGATACACAATTCCAATTTTAACCTACAATAATGCCCTGAATAAAGAAACTAATGTGAAAAATTCAATTAAAAAAAACACATAAGAGATGAAAGCTGAGGGAGTGACTCCTGCAGCGGTCTCAACAGTCACTAGTGCTTGTGAAGTGAGCAGCTGCCCCTCAGAGCACCCAGAGTGGGCTGGGACTGGGGAAGCCTCAAAGGCTGGCCAGCAATGATAGTGGCTGGCAGCACCCATCAGGATCGCTGGCAGAGGCTGGAAGTGCTGCCAACACTTCTTGGAGTCGTCATACTTCTATTTACTGCTTCTCTAATACTAATTTTAACCATACAGATTAAAATACTAAAATCTTTTGTGTTTTTCCGAGTAGTTAAATAATAACCAGGAGGGGTTGAGAATGGATGGAGGGCTTGGGTCAGTTACGTACCGAGGTCTGCGACATGCTTGACTGCTGAGTGACACTCCCAGTGGGGGAAGTACATTGCCTCCCACCTGACAGGCTTGCCTAAATAGCAAGAATACGTGTCAAACACTGAAACCAAAAAGTGTTTAAGTGATGTTCACATCATTGCATAAACCATCAGAAACATCCCTCTCTACCATTACCTTTGCTTTGAGCTAACAGTAAAAATGCCTTTATTCAGTAGAACTAGTTTTCAGCAGAGTGCCCCCTGTGCTAAGGAATGCTTTCTGCAACGTGCTAAATGCTCTTAATTCCTACCCAATTTCAGGCACTCAGGTTCTTGCTGATCAAGACTTGAAAAAAAAAAAACCAACAAAAAACTATCAGAGGTGAAGTCTATCAAACTGTTAATGATGGAGCTGACTGATCAGCTCACTCCCTAAGGTGCTCAGAACTTAAAATGAGGCATCATTATAAAGTGTCATCATTAAAGCTCACATCATAATTTTTATTATGATTAGAATCCTCTAAAAATAAAACCAACTTTATAAATGCTGTAAAGAACACCCTTATTCTAGAATGATAATTTATGTATGCACATCTAAGCATCTGTAACAGCTATTCCTGCCCTTCAGGTGAATACAGGGACAGTGAGATTTAGATTTCTGTATTAACAGCCTGAATACCAAAACTTCTTTGCCTTTACCCATCTGATTTTCTTTGCTGTGTCTCGGTAACTGTATAGGCACACACAAATCCATCACAAAAAAGTGGACAAACCAACATATTACCATGATCTAATGGAAAAGGTATAGAAGAAAAAGCCAGGAGCATAGAAGAGTCAGTCCCAGTTCTGACAACAAACAGCTGTATCCCTGAAGTCTTTAACTCTGTGTTAGCATTTCCATGTGTAAAATTGTTAACAACCACCTATCTCTGCAAGGCAGTACACTCAATCCAAGCTCGACTGAGGTCACATGAAATCTTTCTACTGCTTGACTTTTCAGAATGGGTCTCCTCCAGTGTTCACTAATGTTAAAAGCTGTACTTCAGAAATGAAATGTCATTTACTTCCTACATTTCCACACTCAGAATTGAAGTTGAATTTTGCCATTACTTATAATGCAGCCAGATGTGTGGCGAGATACCAGATGTTCATTATTTTTCTTTTATTTCACTAAGACACATTGCTATTCATTGCTTTCCCCATCAACTTTTAGAGGAAATCAGGGGATGAGGATTGAAGTAGTCTATTTTTAATATTTATTTTATTACTGTTTGATGATTTACATGATGCATTATAATGTATGCAATAAAGCATGGAATGGTCGCCTACTGGAGCATCTCTAACACCGGACAAAATCCTCCAAATAGTTTGGAGGAAGATACAATTTAAAATAATGAAGTCATTAGAATATAACAGTGAATTATTGTGAGGCTTTAAGCTCAGGCACTTAACCTGTTATTATGTTTGACAATGTAGTCCTACTCTAGAAAGTAGTACACCACATTTTTTTTTCAGCAATCTTCGCTCTCACCTGTGGTACAGTTGCCAGACTCTGAAATTGGGTACTGCTTAAGTGCTGCTGCTGCAAAGCAGCAGTTTGCAGCATGAGATGCTGCTGTTGGGCTGCATACATCTGCTGGAGGTACTGAGCAGCTGAGCTAGGAGGACGATGCAAGGCCTGCTGAATAACCTGTGACGAATCAGTAGGTAATTAATTACAATTACAAAGTACACACCACACTGACATGATGCTGAGGTTTACCTTTACAAGGAAATAAACCCAAATAAATTCTTTTCACACCCATTACATGATACTGAACTTGCTCCACCACTGTTCTCAACCAAGTCACAGAATATAGTCAATGTAAATATATTTAAGTTTTCAAGGAGAGCCTGACAGCTGACACAATACCACAACATTCAAGCCTCTTAGGTACTAGTCCACAAATCCTACATAAAAGTCTGCTTTTTGAAGGATCAGGATATTGTGGGAGAGGCTCAGTTACCAAACCCAACAGAATGGACCGTGCAGGGTTTGAGGAGACCTAATTTAAAGAACAGCAAGAGGGGGCTGGATCCAAAGCAGCAGGTACACACACAGATACCTCTGGATTCCTGTAGTCAATCTTGGTCAAACAGGTTTATTTTCTTTTATTTTGTAAAGTCCTATGTTAATAATCCATACCCTTAGGGAATGGTGAAAAAAACAAACTCTTTAGCATAGCTTTCCCCCTTCCCTTATTTGGGAGGCGAGCCTGTACCCTGCACTATTCTTAAGTTGTCTGTAAACAGTTATCTTCTGAAAACCAGCAAGTCAGACACTGCGAAGGAAGACAGCAATTAAGAATGGAAAGTTAACCCTGTGTAAAGTATCATGCAATGCCTGTATGTGAGAGCACCGTACGGGACAGGAAAGAATCTCTCCCAGCCCAGTACCTGGACGGCGTGTCGGTCAGAGCCGCTGTAGACAGAGATCTGGGGCAGCTGCGTCCGGGAGGTGGAGGTGGTGGTGATGGTTGTTGTGGATGCAGAACATGTTGTTGTGTTTGGTTCATTCTCCATATTGTGCAGTGTTCGTCCAGCCTGGCAGAAATGGAAATAAAAGCGGTTCACAAACAGAAGGCCAGTACACAGATTTTAAAAGCAAAAAAAAACCACTAAGCTTTGCTGAGATAGGACAATTTCCAAATGGATAAAGTTGTAGTATTTGTTATTACTTGATGGAATTTGTTTAGAGATGTGGTTACAATCTTCTAACATCCATCAAGAGTAGCAATAGGTGACCAATTTAGGAATACGTGCAAGATTTCCAGCAAGCTACACAGGAGAACTCCCATATCCCTCTTCATAGAATGGTTCTGGTTGGAAGGGACCTTAAAGATCATCCAGTTCCATCCCCCTGCCCTGGGCAGGGACACCTCCCACCAGACCAGGTTGCTCCAAGCCCCATCCAGCCTGGCCTTGAACCCCTCCAGGGATGGGGCAGCCACAGCTTCTCTGGGCAACCTGGGCCAGGCTCTCACCACCCTCACAGGAAAGAATTTCTTCCTGGTATCTAATCTAAATCTCCCTTCTTTCAGTTTAAAACTGTTACCCCTCCTCCTATCGCTACACTCTTCCCCACAGCACAGTGCTGGAACCTCTGGCTGATCATTCTGTACATAGAGCAAAACATGTTCTTGGCAAAAATCACGGGTGGCTGCTCTGTTTGGAAAGAGATGGAACAGATGTAGAGAAAAATGCTTTTACTTTTTACAGCAATACCTCACAAAATACAGCAAGAGCCAAGGAAGAAACTACTTAATTAAGCATCTCTGATTCCTCCCCAGACTTCCCTCTGTTGCAGAGTACAATCTCTTTCCCAAAACATCTCCCATTCAGTCTTTAAAACTGAATGAGTCGCATATCTAAATATATGAGGGGTGCTTACTTCAGTTTCTTTTTCAGTATTAGTATTATGATTAACAGGAAATAGAACAGTTGCTGTTTATTGCTTTTAAAGGGATGTTAAAAAAATGGGCGGGGAGGAGACGTGTTTCCTTCTTACATTAAAGAAGGGCTCAGAAAAATAAACATTGAGAGAGCCTCAATGTACTAGGAAAAAAGCAGTATTGCCAAGGGCTTAACAAACTGCCCACTGGATGCTGCATCAACCAGGAACATAATGAGGAGTAGTTTGAACTCCCACAGCTGAGAGCAGAACACAACACTGCCAGGCTCAAAACCTCTCAAAACACAACTAGTTTGCAAGTAGAGAACTGCACATGATGCTGTAGCTCCTGAGTACTTCGAATAAATAAACTTTTATAGATACATGCTCACCTAAGGACCTCACGCCCATCATTGTACTGTACACTTGCATATATTTTGCCATCAAAGAATATTCATGGCAGTAAAGCATGCTTTAAAAGCAGAGATCCCTTCTACTAGAACTGAAGAAAAAGAATAGGGCTTTGTTGTTAAAATTCAGATCTGCTGTGTGTTATTGATGCCATTTGTCCACCTATATTAGAGCACAAGGTAACACACATGGCTAACCACTTCAATTGGAATAAAAACAGCATCACTTCTGAAACCACTTTACATTAATTTCACATAATACTAATGAAAAGCACCTTAAAAAAAAAAATCTTGTCTCCTCCAGAGGACATTAAAAGCATATCAAAATATTTACACCTTCAACTTGTCTAGCTAGTTTTAGCAGAGAGTTATGCAATCAGCTAAATTAGCCTATGAAAACAACACTGGACGTTTTATTTCCTTCCTTCTCAGCCACGTTTTGGATGCATTATTAGTGATATGTGCAACGTATCCCACTCTACCAGCTACTCCACCAGAAGTTCACCCCATGAGAGCTGTTAATCCTTCAGCTGAAAGAAAGCATCTCATTTCCAGAAATAATTTTGCCATTCTGCTGCCACAGTGGAGGTACAGGGAAAGTAGGAAAGAGCTCCCAAACTTTTTAGCGGGGCCTGATGCTGAAGTACATCTCAGTTCCTCCCTCCTCTAGCAACTCTAAGATGCTTCCTTGCCCCCCTCTCAGTCCTATCACCAGGCAGCACAGCACCAACACGCAGAAACAGCGTGCCCTCTCCCGGCTGAAGGAGATACGAGGTCCTTCAACAGATGACACTTGTTAGAAACCTCCCCTCTCTCTATACGAGGAGTGGAATGTTTAAGGAAAAAGAGGAAATAGATAAAAAGTGGTTGTTTTTAGCAAGGAAACCAGGAATCCATTACAATTCAGCAAATCGATATTTTATGACAGAAAAAAAAAAAAAGCAATACAGGCTTCAAATCAAACTGCCTTTACAGCACAGCTTCCATTTAATTTTCAACGCTATATAGTGTACGTAGATCAATTGTAGTCATAAAAAACCCCTCAGACACAACTGAAGATAATAACCTGAAATTGTTCATTGAGCACACAACATTATCAAAGAGGCAAGACTTTTAACTTACAGTAAAATTAATTTTGTTAATTGTATGACAAAGTCCTCACAACGACATTGCCTGTGAGCAACTTTAACTCAAAAGAACCTTTAATGCAAAGGAAGTTTTAGAAAACGCACTAAACTTCAGCTTTAAACAACCACTACACGTTTAAGCAAGCCCAAAATACAAAGCACAACAGAAAACTACATTGAAAATAGGTATTTATTCAAGCAGCAAGAGAACACCACATAATTTCAAATAACGCTGTGCATAATGTAAGCATTCAGAAACTTTGTTTTCTTTATATTATTTGGTCAAAGCAAATGCCTAAAGTAACAAAATTTAGATTTAGAAAGTTTGACTTTTGGTAAACATCACGGTAATGACAAATACTGCTGACAACCCATAGTAGTAACTGGTATTTGAAAACAGGTTTGGTGTTCGGGTTTGTTTTGTTTTTTTTAACATACACAGCTTATTCTTACCCTTTCCATTCATGACCCCTCCCTGGGGTACAAGGTACCTCTCCATCAACTCCAAGGGTACAAAAACACAGAAAATAAATGAAAAGTCTAACTCCTACAGGCATTTCTGTATGTGAGTGAAGGCTCCCAAATTAACCCTCTCTCTTCACTCCACATACCGTGAAGGGAAACAGTGTAGGCCAACCCTACCCAAACCCTGGGGGTTTGTATTTTTGTTTTAAAAAAAAATAAATTTAAAACTATGCTCTGTGGAAATACGACCCACGCCACGCAGTGCAACTCGCCCTTGCGACCCCTCACGGATCGGCCCAGCCCGGGAGCCGCCGGGGCCCGGGGCGCTGAGGGAGCCCCCGGGCGGCTCCTCAGGCGGCGGCCAGGCCCCCTCAGCGGCCGCTCCCCACCGCAGGCCGGGCCCGCCGGGCTGACCCGTCCCCTCAGCTCCCCGCACCGGGCCGCGGCCTCGCCCAGCCCCTCCGACACAACCGGTAGCCGCGCTCCGGCCCAGCGCCACCGGAGAGGGAGGGAGATAGGGAGAGAAGGCGAGCGGGAGGGGAGGCACCCTCTCCCCGCGGGGGCCGGCCCGCCGCCGGGGCGCTGTCAGGGCGCGGGTCCCCGCCTACGCGCCCCGCCCCGCCGCGGCCTGGCCGGGGCCTTGCCGCTGCCGCTTCCCCTCCTCCGCGCGTCCCGCCGGGAGACTCGCCTCGGACAAGCCGCTCACTCCGCTTCCGCCATCTTCTCGCCTCCCTCAGGGGGAGGTGCCGCGCAGGCGCCTTGCACCCTCGCCGTTGCCGCCGCCGGCGGGCACGTGACGCCGCCCGCCGCCATCTTGTCGCTGGAGCGGGGCGTCGTCCGTGAAGTGAGGCCAGGCCCGGGGCTGGCAGCCGGTAGTCGGTACGGCGGGGCGTCCCGGGTCTCGGTTAGAGAGCGATTTGGATTCACATCAGCGCAGGGAGGCTGTGTCAGGGGGCAGCAGCCTGGCTGGGGTGAGGCGCCTGGCCTCCTGCAGGGCTGTGTGGCAGCAGGGATTTACTTCGTTTTTCCTGTGGAAGTGGTAGAGTTGAGCAATATTTTTCTAAGGCGTGTGGCAAATAAGCTTTGGTTATAGAATCACAGGATGGTTAGAGTTATAAGGGATCTTAAAGACCATCCAGTTCCAACCCCCTGCCCTGGGCAGGGACACCTCCCACCAGACCAGGTTGCTCCAAGCCCCATCCAGCCTGGCCTTGAACCCCTCCAGGGATGGGGCAGACACAGCTTCTCTGGGCAATCTCATCCTTTGGCTACAGTAGGAAAATGCAGGCTGCACTTGGGCCACAATAACCCCATGCAGCGCTACAGGCTTGGGGAAGTGTGGCTGGAAAGCTGCCTGGAAGAAAGAGACCTGGGGGTTCTAGTTGACAAACGGCTGAATATGAGCCGGCAGTGTGCCCAGGTGGCCAAGAAAGCCAATGGCATTCTGGCTTGTATCAAAAATAGTGTGACCAGCAGAAGTAGGGAGGTGATTGTGCCCCTGTACTCAGCACTGGTGAGGCCACACCTCGAGTATTGTGTCCAGTTTTGGGCACCTCAATACCAGAGAGATATCGAGGTGCTGGAGCGAGTGCAGAGGAGGGCAATGAAGCTGGTGAGGGGGCTGGAAAACAAATCGTATGAGGAGCGGCTGAGGGAGTTGAAACTGTTTAGTATGAGGAAGAGGAGGCTGAGGAGAGACCTCATCACTCTCTACAACTACTTGAAAGGACACTGTAGAGAGGTTGGTGCTGGTCTCTTCTCACAGGTAATTAGTGACAGAACGAGAGGGAACGGCTTCAAGCTCCAACAGGGTAGGTTTAGATTGAACATTAGGAAAGAATTTTTCACTGAAAGAGTGATAGGGCATTGGAACAGGCTGCCCAGGGAGGTGGTGGAGTCACCATCCCTGGCTGTGTTTAAGGGCCGTTTAGATGCAGTGCTAAGGGACATGGTGTAGGGGATGACCTTGTAGAGTAGGATAGGTGGTTGGACTCGATGATCCCAAGGGTCTCTTCCAACCTAGACGATTCTATGATTCTATGAATAGGTGCTGTTTTGGGAGGGCTGTTGGGAGGTCAGTCAGGGAAATATCTGCTCCTAGAGCTTTTCCACGTTGGCTGCTCAAGGATCTCAGCAGCTCCAGCCTGCATGCTTGTGGTGAACTTCTGATTTCTGTGAGGGATGTGAAACAGAAGAGTCTTTAGCCTTATTAACTTAGCTTTCAGTTTCTTCCTAGAGCATGTTGGCTTTTCAGCCTTTCCCTGCTTTTGGGAAGACCACCTCTCCCTCTAAACTGACCATAATTGATGAGAGTTGAATTAATTCCTGTCAGTAGGTGGTAGCAGCTGCTGCATATTACCTGGGATAGATGAGCAAAGCCCAACCTTTATAAAGACCACGTAAGCTTGAATCTTACATGGGACGTCTTGACAAATGTATGATTCAGTAGGAAAAAATAGGAATTTTTATCAGTTAAAAAAGAAAGAGATGTAGGGATAATGAAGACCAGTGCTGAAATACTCTTGGAGATCTAGTAGGAAATAGAAAACATGTTGGAAGTCCTAGTGTGAGATATAGAGGAGTTCAGCTCCAGCAAAAGGATATACAAAAAGGATGTGGGACTACACGGAAGCTGGGTGGAGCAAATAACTTTCTTCTGAGGAGAAAATAAACACCAACCAACCACTGCAGGAAGGTCAGGTAGTGTGAAAAAAAGTTCTGCGCTTTGTAAGCACACCTAAGTTAAACAGCAAATAGGGCTTTAAGTTATTTTATCACTGGTATGAGAAAGAACAAAGCGTGTGGATTGGGAAGTGCCGATCTCTGAGCACGGAAGAGCTGAACTCTGAGCTGCTCTGATAAAACATCCAGGTGCGATGCCGACTGGAATTGTTTTCACTGTAAGAGAAGGAAGCAAAGGTTCCCTATTTCTTAGGATTGACAGAAACATCTGTCTGTTCAGGAAGCGTTGGGCAATATAAATATGCGTTATCAAATAGGCAGAGCGGGAAGGAAATACTACTTGCAGTGATAAGGTGGTTTATGATTAACAGTTTTTAACATAATACCTTTCGGTAACCATCCCCGCTTACAGGAAAAGCATCCTTCTTGTTTCTTTCCTTAAAAGTTATCTTAGCCATTTGATATATGGTAATTAAAGCTTCACCTGAACTGAATATACCTGTGGGCAGTGCACACTGCGTGGATTCTTTTAAAATTCTTACAGAAAATATTTTAGCCGGCAGTTACAACAGAGGCGTGGATTGTTCCTGAGCAGCACGCTGCCGGCGCGATGCCTTTTGTGTTAAGACCCTGAATTCTTTGTGGCACCTCGCACACGGGGCTGGTGGTGACACAGCTGGCGGCGGGATCGCGGCACGAAGTTAATGGTGCAGGGAGAGGTGCCCAGGGCTGCTTTGGTCCTACCCAACGGCCCAGCGAGACCAGGCCGCGCTCCCACCGCTCAGCGGCGGCTCTCACGGAGCTCTGCAACCCTCGCACGGGTGGTGGTCCCGTTTGTACCTAAGTGAAACGGTGGGGGTCCTCCTCCTCCGCCCCTCTCCCGAGGGCGACTACCGGCTGCGGGCCTTCACCGCAGGCCGAAGGAGGCCGGGCGGACCCGGACCAGGACCCGCTCGCCCCGCCGCGCCGGCGCCAGAGCCGCGCTGCCGCCCGGCAGTCCCAGCGTGCCTTGCGGCGGGCCGTACCAAGTGCTGGGGAAAGGAGGGGCGGGGCCAACAAGGCGGCAGCTGGAGCCGCTTTCGCCACGGACTACCTTCCCCCCTCTTCCGCCTCGGTGTGGAGCGTTCCGCTCCGCAGGTGTGTGCGGGGAAGAGCCCACGTACCGCTGAGGGAGGGGGGATACACACGCAGACGAGGCGCAGCGCCTGCCCTCACTGGGCGGCAGAGCCGCTGACCGGCCTCTCCCGAAGCGGCTCCGCCTGATTACGGGGGCAGCGCCCGTGTTCCCGTCCCGCACGGCTCCGCGCTCCCTTCTTCCCCGTATCC